AGGAAATCAATGTGAGTCAATCCCTGTATAGCTATCCTTATCTCAACCAGCAAAAACCCTTGTCCTTCCTATTATTGCTTATACTCTCTTACAACAAAATTAGAGATAAGGGCAAAATAGTTTCTGCGGGTAGCAGAGGGTAGGGGGTAAGGGGAGGGTGGGGGAAGGGGGGAGAAATGGACCCAAACATTGTATGCACATATGAATAAAGTAAATAAAGACACCTATGATGGAATCAGAAAAGAAATAAAAAAAAAAAAAAAAAATGCTACTAACAGCAAATAACTTTAAGAGAAACTAAAGCAGTGATTGCTCGGTAATAGGTGGAATTCAGTGGATTGTTTTTCAATATATCCAGTCTTAGAAAAAATCAATGACCAGTGTTATTAAAAAGACACTGTTAAATTTTACGTATTTTAATTGCACTTCATCTTTGGGAAAACCACAACACCATCCTAAGTAATTCCTCTGTGCAGGGTTTAAAAATTATTCTTGAAACATATAGGCTTTAGACCGACATAAGTAGTACAAATTTTACTTTGAAGAATCCTTACTCATGTCAATACACTGATCGTGTAATGTAACTGGGCTAGTAGTATTTGTAATTTCAATTAATTAAATCCTCTTCTTGCTGCATATAAATTAAATAAGGCAAGCAATGTAGAAAAAGTCACAAAAGATCAAATTCTGTTTCATTAGACATGGCAAGAGCTACTGCTTTCAGAATAGTATCACATTTCTTTCATAGACTCGTGGGCCAAAAACATGCCTAAAGATAACAGAATCATTCTCCAGTGTGTACTTCTGTAGTTTTACCTTCGATTGCACACTTCAGCCAAGCGGGGAACTCATAGGTTAACACTCCACGCTAGGGAAAGATCTGAAAGAAAAAGCAGAATTCTATCAGCTCCATTTTCTACTAAAACGAAGAAATGGGCGCATTAACGATCCGTAATTGATTGGAAGAAGAAGTAAGCCAAAGTATAGTTTCAGATTCTTTTATTTTTTTTTAAATTTCCTGACTAAAGTTAATTTTCCTGATTTAATTGGTATAAAACTTATACTCAAATCAGAAAGTATGTGTTAAATTTTGTTCAATGCACTTATATACATATAAACACACTAACGAAGAGAGAGTGATACAGAAATGGATACACAGAGACAAAGAATGAAGAGGAGGAAGGGAAAAAAAAGGGAGAACTCAAGAATTCAAATTTCAAAACAAAATTTCAGGCTCAAAGACAGCATGAAATATCTGCTATGGAAACTGAATCACAATATGATTTTGTTTGGAAAGGAATCATACCAATTTATTTAAGATATTACTGATAATTATGAAGTTAATTCATTGCATAATCTAAACTTTTGCTGATTTTAACACCTACATGAAATTTAGAAAGTAATCAAATGAGTAATAAGTTCATTTAATATCTTTATCACAAATTGCAATCAAGCACATCTTTTCTCATTGGAACTGAATGAAAATTGTCCCCCAAATTCACTGGAAGAGAAAATTTTTACTCTACGTAACACATCCCTTTGTGGGCACAAATATTATTCTGAATAAATATTTGAATAATATTCTGATAGACTTTACTGAAATTAAAACCTCTGAGAAGACAGGATTGCCTCCTCAATGGATTGATGAGGTCAATTATCTTTATGCACATAGTTCTACATTATAGTGCCTCTTACACTACCCTCCATCCTTCAAGCCCCCTCACCTCTCTCTGTCTCTCTCTCTCTCTCCAAGCAGGTTCCAAATATATTTCTGATGGAAGGTTAAAATTACTATTTCTGATGGATGGTTGAAATTACTATTTTCTTTTCTTAGGAACTTTAACATCTCAGTCATTCCAATGAACAGGAAAATATATTCATCAATGAAAACCATCTAGGCATTAAGAAGTTCAAAAACATCATAGATGTTTTAAGTAAAATTTAGACACCTCATGGTATATGAAAATTCATATTCTCTCTTATTGTATGTTATCGTGTTCATTCTCAAACCACCATGCACATAAGTGCTACTATTCTCCTTTTATATTGAGGAATGAAAATTTTAATTAAATTAGAAAATATGAACAAGTTCTCACAATAATGAGGAACACCAGCTATGTTACATGTTATACATTTGATTCATATAAGTTCATCAAAAATATAATGATTTCAGTGGAATGATCACTGCCCTTATGCTGCACAGTTTAAAAAATGACAAGTTGTGTAATTTTCAAAAAAATGTATGAATTTCATAATTATGGAATCTCTTTAAATACAATATTAAATGTAATAAAACTAGCACAAGAACTTGAATTTAAAGGGGAACTTTGTTAGATGATGGAAATCTTAATATGTTTGTTTATAGTAGCCCTTTGATGATATATTTGTTTACTAAAACATATTGTGTTCTATAAAAACACACCATTAACAAAGTATAACTGGAAAAAGCAGAGAACACTTGTATTTAGTAAACAAGCTTAAGGATTCAAAAAAATGCACCTTATAGAATTTTGCAAACTTTTTTTCACTATCTGTGCATTCCATGAGTGAAATTAAATATTTGGCTCTGAGGAAAAACTCAGAGCAAAAATTTCAGAGAGGAAGAAGATAGCTGGTGACCAAAAATAAATTAAACAGCTCTTGATGCAATTATCTCATTCCAACCTCATCAAAGCATCAGAAGTGGGACTGTCCCTTTCTGTCTTCCACACACCCCTCACACTGACCAAGAAAACACTTTAAACATTTTGTGAGTTAATCCTTACTTATCCATATGATAATCCTTCCCTATATCATGAGTATACCTTTTTAGAAGGAAGCCGATAAACTAAAGATAGTTTGCCTCCAGATACCTTCTAGTGGTCACACTGAAGATGATAGTCAGGTCAAACTGCCAACTGTCACACTGTGCTCAGAGGACTAATATTAGTAGTGTTTGATCCCTTGGGTTTAAGAGTATAATCATCCCAGAATAGGCAGTCTAATATTTCAATTACGTGAAGCCTGATAAGCAATTTTATAACTGTCTTAATTTATATAACTATCTTAATTAGAAAGATTCCAAATACTTAGAAGGTCTAAGCGATCATGATAGTTATTTGAGAATATTAAGTGGAAAATGCCATATGAAACCAAAAAAGGGGAACTTGTATTAACCATTTTAGACTAACATTTTTAAAGTTCATTAACTAACTCTTTCTCAAAGTTATACTATAGTGTCATGTTTCACATCCTACTAATCTCATGATCCTGTTTCACTAAAAAATGTTTAGATTATTGTCAAGATTATTGACACTAAGTTATTTTTAGTCTTTTTAAAATTTACATGCATAGTTCATGTTGTAGTACATTTCTAAGTCTCAGTTCCTCTAGACATTTCTAATGGCATATTTTCAGTTCTTTTCTTTTTGAATCTTGTTGAGTTTTGATGCTTGCATGTTCAGAGTCTGTATTTTTAATTTCACATTGAAGATGACTAATTAACTTCCACCTAGGGAGGAAAGGTGGGATTATCCTTGAGTTGGACAGACTCTGTGGTAGCTACCATGCCCCCTCCTTATGGTCACGCCCTATGTGATCTGTCTCCTTGAGTATGGGTGGCAACTCATCCCTGATTGGGTCTGTGGCTTGTCCAGACTGAACTCAGCCCTGTAGACTGCACAAGGACCTGTAGCAGCCTCTGGGCCCATCCATGACACTGGGAGGGGAAGTGTGTGTTGTTTAGCATTGCTGGTTCCGGGTCACTGCTTACTCAGCAGCAGCTAATGCAGCTAACTAGTGACTGAGGACAGGCTAAAGGCCACTACAGCTTCTCTCAGGGATAGGCACATGCCATCTCCACCATGCATGTGGGAAGCCAGTGTGGGAAGCTGACGTCCTACAGAGTTCATGTTTCTCCTTAGGTTTGTCTGACCCTAAAGCCAAGACTCTACCCTCAGTTCCTGCCACTTCGCCAGCTAGCAGAGCTGAGAAGGGACAGGCTTTGGAAGTTTCCACTGGCCTCACAGTGAGGCCATAGACCTCTCTCCTTCTCAGACCCACAGCATCCTCTAGGGATAAGAAGCCACAGCATACCTGGTGGGTACAGGTTCCAGGCTGCCCGCCCCAAGGCCCACTGCCTTACTGTCCCTTTTTTTTTTGGTACTGGGGCTTGAACTGAGGGCCTACACCTTGCGTCACTCCACCAGCCCTTTTTTGTGATGGGTTTCTTGGAGCTAGTGTCTCACAAACTATTTCCCCAGGCTGGTTTCGAACCTCCTGAGTAGTTAGGATTACAGGTGTGAACCACTGGCACCAGGCTTGTCCCTTCTTCCTGATTCCACCCAAATGAGCAGTTAGGACCACAGTCCACACCACAAAGGGCTCAAAGACCCCTCAAATTTGTCCCTCCCATTGTCTCCAGAACCAGGACATTTTACATTCAAAGGGATGGAGAGATGGTTGTCCCATCTCCACACTTCCCCCATAAATTCACCCAAGTCTAAAGCTAGCAGACCTGGCTAGTGACAGCAGGGACATAAACCACCCCTTTGCCTGTTCCCTCTGAATCTACTCTTTGGCACTTGTCTAATTAAACTTTCTGCTTCCTTTTTTTTCTCCCTGAGTGTTGGAGGAGGGAGTTGGAATCTTTATCTCTTGAGACTGTGCTGCCAGGACATTTTTTTAATTGTATTATTTTTGCCATGCTGGGTATGGACCCAGGACCTTGGGCATGCCAGGCAACTACTCACCACTGAGCTGTACCCAGCTCCTTTCCTTCACAAAGCAAACAAGGAAGAGATTTGGTCAGAACAGAATCATACTTAACCCATTCAGGCTTCTCACCCACCAGCTGTGCTCAACCTTTTTCTAGATATTTTTGCCCCTAACTTCCCACCCTCCTTGAAACTGATTCATTTTTTGGCAGTACTGGGATTTGAACTTGGACCTTAGGCTTGCTAGGTTGGCGCTCTACCACTTAATCCACTCTTCCAGCCCTTTTTTGTGTTGGATATTTTTGATATGGGTCTTACCTGGGCTGGCTTCGAACTGTGATCCTCCTGATCTTTGCCTCCCAAGTACCTAGGATTATAGGCATGAGCCAGAGTTGCCTGGCTCCCATCTTGAAATTTAAATGATATCTGCACACTGTATGAATCTATACTTGAGAAGCCAATGGGCTATCTCAGATTCCCTGGGGACAAGGTCCCTCTTGGCAATGGCAGGGGACATTTCCCACCCCCAGGTCCTCCTGTGGGGAAAACATAAGTGACAGTTGGCAGCTTGGGATACCAAAATGACAGTTTATTCTGACATTTGTACTGGGGCTGGGAGGACAGCTTCTTAGGGGGCAAGATGGAGTGAGGGTGTTGGAGATGGGGACTTCCCCACATCCACATTCTCTCTGGGTGGGGTGTGTGGGCTGCTGGAGCATCAGTGTGACAGGAACAGTGGCTGTAGGTTCTGGCTATGGACTTGCAGGTAGGAGATACATTCGGTCAAGTCACGCCTGGCTTCCTGAGTCCCCCAAGGGCTAGCCTGCAAAACCTCCCAGGAGTCCAGCGCCCAAACTGATGGCTTCTGGAAGGACTTTCTGAGCTCTTTCAGAGCTTCAGGGTCAGGCAGTAACATTGTATTAATTGCACTTGTTTGGTTGTGAGCCTCCCAAATTCCCGGAAGTCTGGGACAGTGTAAGGGTCAGGGGTCAAAGGCTTCTGACAATTTGGTGAGGGGCTGGTGGCAGGGTTTCCTTTGGTCACGCCCCGTCACACCCTCTGAGGGTCCAGAGAGACATGTTCTTGGAGTCTGGTCCTATGGCCTTGTGGGAACTGCACACAAAAGGCTTCTAGAAAGTTCACAGTTACATGAAGAAAGGCAATGCCTGGCAGCTGGAGGCAGTTCTCAGAGACTCCACAGAAGGGGGTGGTGCATACAAGGGAACTCATTCCTGGGCTGTGGTGATGAAAAGGATGCTGTTTGAGAAGGTGGGGTCACTATTTACTGGCTAAAAACATGTTTAAAAGCACCTCAAGATGGCTGTAAATGAGACTATGAAAAAAGATCTTTTATAATATTCAAAGGTGCCTTAGGATATGGCCCAGCACCAGAAGACCCACCCTGGGTGCAGATGAGGGGCATGGGGCCCAGAAGCCCTAGACAGAGAAAATGAAATGTTATGAAGATGCTGAAGGAAGGGAAGTAGATTGAGGTGGGGGGGTGACATGGCCTAGTCGTACCTCTTTGGAAAACAAACACTGAGTGGTGGCTGCCAGCAGAGACACAGATGCTCTAAGGCAAGCACAGGCCAAGCTGGTGCCACTTCCCCTCCCAGGCAGGGTTGAGGTGAGCAGAGCTGGTTGCAGGGGCCAAGGCCATGGATGCAAAGGCAGAGGTGGGGATGGGAGGAGGGTGGAGGCAGAAATCAGAGGGGCTACCAGGGTGGAGCTTCCTCACTTCCTACAGGTGATTTGGTTCACAGACACAGTGGTTTCCCTTCACTGAGAGTACAGAGCACTGCAGAATTCAAGTTTAGCCTCCCTGCTGACAGCCGAGGAGCTGGGACTCAAGGAAGTGGTGAGGATCCTTGGCTGTTGATCCAAGGAGGAAGGAATCCACAGTCCCCACTGGGCTCCTGAGGGCTGCACAGTGGCACTCCGGGGATACTCAGCTAGAGGTCTCAAAGATGTCTCCAGCCAGTCTCTGAGGTCAGGGCACCCTGGGTTCTTAGTGGCACATCCGTGCAGTCATTTCCTTCTGTTAAGAGCAAACAGTATATCAGAAATCGACAGATACAGAGGTAACATGGTTAACACACAGAGAAGCAGGGGCATTCAGAGCAGGAGCCATGGCTTTGCTGAATGCCAACTGAAAAGAAGCTGGACAACAGCCAGAGCAGCAGATGGCCAGAACTTGTGTTTTCCTTTCTGGAGGCCAAATTTGGCCTTTGTCTAGACCAACGGATCTGCCCTGTCATCCAAGTCACCAGGCCACTAATGAGTAGGCCGTGTGCCAATAAAACTTTATTTTCAGGACTGGGGATGTAGCTCAGGGGTAGAGCACTTGCCTAGCATGCACCAGGTCCTGGGTTCAACCCCAGCACTGCAGGAAAAAAAAAAAAAGAATTTATCTACAAAAACAGGTCATCAGTTCATGGCTGTGGCTTCTGACTGGCCTTATATAGCCAACTGACCCCACCTCCCATCCACCCAGCTCTACTAGGGCCAGGCCTGGGGTGTCTGGTCCAGAGGGAGACCCCACAGCTCCATAGTCTGAGCCCTGAGCACAGATGTTCTGACCTCCCAGTGAGGGCAACAGTGGCTGGCAAGCACTAGGACAGTAGCCCCCTCTTGCCCTCTGACCTTTCTAGGCCTGGACCCAGCAGGGCCTGCTTAGACCTGGGAATAGTCTAAGAACCCTGTGCGGGCAACTCAGAAAGGTTGATGTCCTTCACTTGCACTAGGCAGCCACACTGAAGCCTCCTGGAGCTGGACTAAGTCATGTCCATGCGACAGGTGAGGGGCTCCAGTTCTGCTAAGGCCCATCCTCAGGCCTAGTGTGCCAAATCCTGGGACAGGAAGTAAACTTGTGGGTTCCAGGGGCTGGGGATGGGGTGGGTGACTTCTTAAGGAGACAGAGCTTTCTTTCGGGATCATGGAATGTGGAATGTACTGGAACTAGACAGAGGTTGTGGCTGCACAACATTGTCAATGTACTAAATGGAAATGAGTTGTATCCTCAAAAATGGCTGAACTATATGAATTTTACTTCAATTAAAAACAGAAATTGGCCTGGGAATGTGACTCAAGTAGTAGAGCACTTGCCCAGAAAGCTTGAAGCTTGGGTTTAAACCCCAGAACTGCAAAAAATAAACTAAACTAAAATAGTTAACACTCAAAATGTGAATTACTTTTAAAAAACAATACAAAACAGAAAAATCAGCCCTCAGTGTCTGGTCAGACAGCAAGGGGGCAGGGTGGTGGTAGGCATCTGGTCACAAAGTGCTAGTGTAAGGAGCAGAAATGGCCCCATGGGAACAGGGCCCTTTGAGAACTTTCTGCCCACCCTACCCACTGGTCCTTGTCATTGCATGGGGGCTTCAACTAAAGACACACTGATAGGTGCAGTGGTTCATGGCTATAATCCTAGCTTCTCAGGAGACAGAGATCAGGAGGATCACAGTTTGAAGCCAGCCTGAGCAAAAAGTTCCTAAAAGCCCGTCTCAACCAATGGCTGGGTGTGGTTGTGTACACCTGTTGTCCCAGTTATATGGAAAGCACAAATAGGAGAATCAGATTCAGGCAGGCCTGGGAATAAAGTGAGACCTTATCTCAAAAAGAGAGACCCTATGCCAAAAATAACCAATGCAAAAAGGGCTTGGGAGCCTCACTTAAGTAGTAGAGCACCACTAGCAAGTGTGAGGCCCTGAGTTCAAAGGCAAGTACTGCCAAAAAAAAAAAGAGACGCAATTTGCTATTCTTGCTCTGCTTTTGTGTGTTGTTGACAGACAGCATCTTAGCCAGTCTCCCAAAAAAGATCAGAAAAACAAAAACTGAGAATGGTCCAGAGAGCAGACATCCACAGGCTGGGCAGTGGCACAGATGTCACCTCTCCCTCAGTCACCAGGGCTGAGTGCCCCTTAGACTTGTCCACTCATCCCTGTTGTAAGTGACCCTTAGTGAGAATGCAGGCTGGTGCCCCACCGACCCAGGGGAGCAGGCATCATGGAGGGTACCTGCAACCTGCAGCCCATACCCCACAGCTTACCAGTGGCTCCAGCTCCTTGGTGTCAATGAGGTTGAACTCTGTGACAAAGTAGTAGAAGTGCTTATAGCAGGTGTTCACATGGGCCTCTGAGCCCATCTGCGCAATGCGGTCGAAGTGGTGGATGTAGACATGCACGAAGACACGGAAGAGCCTTGACAGGATCTTCCTCACAGCCTGTAGGAAGTTCTTAGGGAATGGTGTGCCTGGATGGTGGAGAAAGGGACCAAGAGAAGGGGGCTGTTCAATCTGAGTCTGCCTGAGATCCTAGCTCTGGCCCAAGCAGGCCCACCCCTGAGACCATGCTCCTTATTTGAACCACAGATGTGTATACTAATGAGGCTCAGAGGTTAAGCTCACATGAGGTCACACAGCTGACATCCTGGTGACCAGGATGTTTCCTCCTGAAGTCAAGTGTCAACTCCCATGCAGAAGGTACTTGGTCTGTCTCAAGCAAAGAGCTCATTTCTTTGGGACAAGGGCAGTAGCCTGTGACCACTCCTAGCCTCTGGTCTTCTTGCCCCTCTTCCTCTTTTGCAGAGTCCTCAGGTAGCTCCCTCCCTCAAAACCTTGGCCACTACCTACCCAGCCACCACTTCCTATCCTCCCTGTCTCAGGGGACTATAAAACCTCCTGTGGCATGGATCACAGGATGTGAATGTATGAGTTAAGTATCTCTCCCCAGGTCTCATGCTATCTGTGGGGTCACTCAATCCAGCCAGTGTCACCCAGTGCCCACTGTGGACAGTGGTGAACAGACAGATATAACTAACTGCAGAGACAGCCACAGGTGTCCAGGTCACATCTTCTAGAAGATGAGAAACACCTGCGGCTGGACAGCATCATGCTTCTTGAGCCTTGGGATCACTAAATAAGGCTCAAAGATATCACCATCTTAATTTCCAGAGTATGTGGACATGTCACTTCCTATGGCAAAAAGGACCCTGCAGTTGTGATCAGGCTAAGGACCCTGAGCTGGGGATCATCCTGGTTCATCTGGGCCAACGGTCACCATGGCGTCCTCATGAGAGAGAAGAAGGGGCCATGAGCCAAGGGATGTGGGACCTCCCTGGAGGTCCTCCAGGAGGGACAAACCCTGCCCCACTAGACCGTAGCTCAGGGATGACAGTTCCTAACCCCAGAACTGTGAGGGGTTTTTTTGTGTGTGTGGGTGGAACTGGGATTTGAACTCAGGGCTTCACACCTGCAAAGGCTGAGCCACACCTCCAGTATACTTTGCTCTGATTATTTCAGATGGCGTTCTACAAACTATTTGTTCAGGCTGGCTCCAAACCATAATCCTCCCAATCTCAGCCTCCTGAGTAGCTCCAATTACAGGCATGAGCCACTGGCACCCAGCTAGAACTGTGAGGTTTTGAGGCACCAGTCTGAGTCACTTTGCCACAGCCCAGTGCAGACTTACAGAGGGTCTTCTTTGAAGCCCATGGTCTAAGCCTTACTCTCAGCTTTACCCCAGGGAATGGGGAGGTGCAGCAAGAGTAGGTCTGTCTTTCCCCTATAGATCAGAGAGGAACCTGGTACTACTGGGGGTGTCTGGTGAGGATGGGATACCCACGGTAGAAAAGGAGGCCAAGCCAGGTGCAGTGGCACAGACTGTAATCCCAGTACATGGAAAGCTGAGGTAGGAAGGTCACATATTTGAGGCCAGCCCTATCTCAAAATACCCCCACCGCCCCCACCCAAAAAAAAAGAGGCTGAGCTGCCTCCTTTTCTTGAAAGCTCTGTTCATGGCCATGTTGAGCTGGGCAAGGCTCATGGGGGTGAGAGGATAAGGGGGCAAGGAGGTGGGGGTGGTAAAGCCTCCTTTAATTGTAGGGGAGAAATTCAAGGAGCCGATACTGACAGGCAGGCTGTGGGCTGCCTCTAGGGCCACAGCAAGGCAGGACCTGGGGTATTTTGCACCTCTTGTCCTAAGCATGAAGAATGTTGGGTTTATTTTCCTAACGTCCAGCTCTGGCTCACCCCTTCTCTATTTTTGCCATTGCACAGAAGGCTGAGGTCACAACCATCTGAAGGCCTCCATCAGGTCCAGGACTTTCTGCTCAACACCCTGTTGTACACTACCACCACCCTTAACTTGTTTGTGTGCTAGACTTTTCTCAGGCAGTTGCCTGCATAGAAAGTCTTCTCTCCCACCTCCTAGAGCCCAATGTCCCTTGGAAGCTGGTCCAAGGAGGTCTGGGAATGTGAGCTCATGCATGTAGATGACCCTGGGATAAGTGCTATGAACTACAGAACAGGTGGAGGATCTGGATTGGCTGTGTTCCACCTAAAACCTAAACCAGGAATGTTCTGAAACTGAGAGAAGTTGAAAGTTGCCCAACTGTGTGAGTATAAGACAAACCACTGGATTATAGTACGCATTTTTTTTTTTTTTTTTGGTGGTACTGGAGTTTGAACTCAGGGCCTCACACTTGCTAGGCAGGTACTCTACCACTTGAGCCACTCAGCCAACCCTGTTTTGTGTTGGTTTTTTTGAGACAGGGTCACATGAACTATTTGCCTGGGCTGGCTTCAAACCATGATCTCTGCCTTCTGAGTAGCCAGGATTACAGGCATGAGCCACCAGTGCCCAACTGGACTGTACACTTTCACATGGTGAACAAGGCTGGGATTGACTCAGTGGCAGAGTGCTTGTCTGGCATGCCTGAGACTCTGGACTCCATCCCCTGCAACTCCAAAAAGAAAAAAAAAGGATGAATTCTAAGATAAATGAAATATATCTGAATAAAATTATTTCTTAGAAAAAAACTGGAAGTAGAGTTGAACCTGACTCAGCTGAATCCTTTCTGCCATCTGCTGGAGCCCCCTGGGTCACTGGTAGCCATGCATGAGCACCACCAGCAGCCCCAGGGTGTGAGGGGGAACCCAAAGCCCAGACTGCCAGCCTTGCTGTGGTGCCTATCCTTCCCTACTCACCGACATTGGTAGGGAAGATGTCCTCATTGTTGATCTGCACCTCGATCCAGTCCATGAGCAGGTCCATGTACCGGGGTGCAGACAGTGCTGTGGGCTTCCGGAACCGCTGCTCATCCTGCCAGCGGTACTCGTACTTGGGTCCCCCAGACATGATGGGGCAGGACTGCTCAGTGCAGCCGTCACTGATGGTGCCGTAGATGAGGTTGACACGATTGAAGAAGTCCACCACATGCACGGCCACCCAGTCATTGAGCTCCTCACCTGGGGGCAGCTGCACAGCCAGTCTCAGGTCCAGCCCTGCGTTCAGTGATGCCTGTGCCTTCTTGTGCAGCTCAAAGCGCTGTGTCCCCGGCTCGAACTTGCGCTTGGGCCGGAATGTCTTGTCCTTGTTGAAGACTTGCTTTAGGAATGGGTTGGACATCTTGTTGGCGCCTGCTGTCCAAGACACTTCGAGGGGAGAGCCAGGCAGGATGAAGGCCTATGTCGTGGGTCACCCCAGGGGCCTCAGAAAATGTGCCAAGCTCCACACAATCTCCTGGGATCTGAAACATACAGAGGGGGCATTTAGAACCTGCATGAGGTTAGGGACTTTCCTAGAAGTTGGTTCTGGAAGCACAGGGCATGTTTCCCAGGACTTTCGGGGTAAGTAGCTCCACCAAAAAGGGTTAATTCCCCAGGACAAGTGATCACATGGCATAGCCAGATAGCCTCAGAACCCACAACTCTAAGAGCCATGGCCCCAGATACCCAGAGCAGCCTTGGCCTCTCCACTGGCTGGACTTGCTGTTCCCAGCTTCTCCCTGTGAGAATGTGGGAGAGGATGTTGAGATCCCCATGGTGGCCAGGTGATGGTAGTGGGCTGACAGTGGCTTCCATGAGGAGATACACATATCTGGTTCCCTGGAACCTCTGGACATGACTATCTATGAAGAGAAGGTCTTCACAGATGTGAGAAAGTTCAGGACTGTAAGATGAGGTCATCCTGGTGATCCTAAATCCAATAACAAGCATCTTCCTTTTTTTTTTTTTTGAGAGGGTGCCTCAGTTCACTTGCTATCCAGGTGGTCTATCAGTTGAGCCACATCGCCAGTCCTTCTTTGCTTTAGTTATTTTTATTTTATTGTTTTACTATTTAGTTGGTTTTTTTTTTTTTTTTTGGATAGGGTCTTGCATTTTTGCTTGGAGCTGGCCTCAGACTATGATCCTCCTATCTGTGCCTCCAGGATTTCAGGCATACACCACCATGCCCAGGTGATTGGTTGAGATGGGGTCCTGGTAGTTTTTTGCCCAGGTTGGCTTCAGACTACGATTTCCCCAGTCTCACCTCCTATTTAGCTGGTATCACAAGCATGAGCCACTGTGTCTGGCCTTACCAGCACACTTGTAAGCTACAGAAGAGAAACAGACACAGAGAAGACAACCACTAAGACACTAGAGCAATATGACTGCAATGCAGGGAATACCAAGGATTGCTGACCACCTCTAGATGCTATGAGAGGCCTGGGACAGATTCTCCCTCCCTGCCTCAGCAGGAGCCAGCTTGCCCACACATTGACCTTGGGCTTCCAGACCCCAGAACTAAGTGAAAATAAAGTCTTGCTATCTCTGTGTTCTGCTCTAGATGACTTTCCAAATAGCCAGTCACTGAATGAGGACCTGTCCTACTCTGGTGTGACCTTACTTTAATTCATCTTCAAAGATGGTACTTCCAAATACAGTTATGTTGCGAGGTCCCATGTGGACCTGAATTTGGGGGACACTGTCTACCCTAGCACAACTCTAAACAAAGAAACCTCAGGGAGCTTGTCCAAGTCTTATTCAAGTCTGAGTGGTGACCTATCGGATGCCTTCTAGCAGCACTGGGATAGGCTACTGATCGTGGGTGCTCATCAGTCACCTGTCCCCATAGGCCCATGTTCAAGACCAGACCTGCAGAAGCAATTAACATACTTGGTATAAATTTTGGAGAATCTGAATAAAATTGCCTGTGTTTCATTAAAAAAAAAAAAAAAAAGGACCAGAGCTGCCACCTCTTCTCCTCTTGAGCCTGGAGTGGGGAGCAGGAGTAACTGACTGTATCCTGAAGAGGGTGGATGGAACCCCTCCCACACAGCACCATGAGCCTACTGCACACACACAACACAACCCTGTGTAACGGGCATCCTTCTGTCACTCACTGCTGGACATTAGCCCTTGTCTTCCACCTACAGGTCAGAGGGGGCCTGATTCCATCCTGCTCTGTGGGACACGCCTACCTGAAAAGGTGGACTTGGTTGTGCCACTGGGGCCCTGGTGAAGGGCCATGAAACATGACTCCTGGGAGCTGTGAAGCAGAAGCAGCAGAAAGGGAAGGCACAGAGGTGACGAGAGCGAGGCTGCCTGGACCCGCCCAAGGGCTCAGTATTGCTGACCTAGGCCCCAGATACATATCCTGCTCATAATAAATACCCACTTTCAATATCATATATTTCACCCCCAGCACTTGGCTTCTTTTTTTCTATTTAACTAAGTAGTTGGAGTCAGTTTTTTCATGAGTGACTAACTGGTCTTGTCTTGAGGCCAAGACCTGGCATGGCAGCAGCACCACAACCAGTGCTAAGATAATACTTATCTCCCTCAACTCTGGGGGCAGAGTCCCACATGGGCCAGCCCATCCCTCCTGCAGTCTCCAGGGAGAATCTGTTTTCCACCTCCCCCAGCTTCTAAAGGCCCCACATCCCTTGGCTCAGGATTCTAGTTTCTTGCCACGTCTCCCTGCAGGGACTCTGCTCAACCCCACAGTGGACAGTATGGCCACCACCAGGATCTGGCCCAAATGTTCAGTGCTGAGAGGCAGATCCTGCATTTGACTAGAAGGAAGTCACATTAGAATTTTGACATGGGGGACCATCCTGGATCATCCAGGTCCTACAGGGTCCTCATAAGAGGGAGGAGGAGGGTCAGAGGCAGAGAGAGGCTGGGAGATGCTGCACTGCTAGCTCTGAAAAGAAAGGAAGGGTGACAGTATAGTGGCAAACACCTGTAATCCCAGGAGGCACTCAGAAGGCAGAAGAGGGAGGATCACAAATTTGAGGTCAGCCTGGGCTACATAGTGAAAAAAAAAGTTGTCAGCTGGGTGTAGTGGCTTATGCTTGCAATCCTAGCTACATAGGAGGCAGAAATTGAATAGATTGTGGTTCAAGTGCAGCCCAGCCAAAAAGTCTTCGAGACTCCATCTTAACCAATGGTTGAGCATGGTGGTTCACACCTGTCATTCCAGCTATGTGGAGAAGTACAAATAGGACTGTGGTCTAGGCTGACCTGGGCATAAAGTGAAACCCTATCTCAAAAATAACCAATGCCAAAAGGGCTAGGGGTGTAGCTCAAGTGGTAGAGTGCCTTGCCTAGAAAACACATGGCCCTGAGTCCAACCCCCAGTACCACCACCACCACCAAAAAAAAAAAAAAAAGGGGTAGAGGAATAGAATCCCCATCTGACCCACAGCTCCAAATAAGGGTCTACCACACAAAGACTTAGATGTCTGTGTCCACAGTATGCGGTTCACAGCAGCCAAAAGGTGGGGACAGCCCAAGTGTCTGAGTAGACATGCACAGTGTGGTCATCCACACCGGAGCATTACTCAGCCATGAATAGGAGGCTCTGACACATGCTGTAACATGGAGGGATCTTGAAGACATTATGCTCAGTGTGAACCAGACACAAAAGGCCCCACAACATATAACTCCATTGATAAGAAACATCCAGATTAGATGAATCCAGAGACAGCAAGTGGACTCGTGAGTGCCAGAGACTGGGGTGTCTACTTATGGGATGGGGCTTCCTTTTGGGTGATGGAATATTCTAGAATTAAATAGAGGTACTATTTGCACAACTCTGAGAGTACACTTACTGCTGCCTTGTATACCTTAAGTAAGTGAACCACAGGGCGCATGAATTATAACCTCAGACAAGCCATGACAGCAACTGGCCTGGCCCCTGCTCCATGAACCCTGAGAGAACTACAGATGGCTGCTCTGGGAAGACATGTAGGCTGCCTCCAGCTTTTCTTACTGTGACACAAAATACAACCATGAAAAAGGGTGCAGGTGATGACTCATTCTAGACAGACCCAGTTGAGGACCACCAGGGATACTGCTCCAAGCAGCCAGCAGCCTCTCAAGACACAGCCCTCCCCACTGTCTGTGGTGACCAGAGTCTCCATTTCCTCAGAGACTCCAGGGCCATCTCAGCACTTCCTGACACCTGACTCACACCTAACTAACTGCTCCAAGTTTCACGTTATCCTGGAAGAAAACATTATCTCCATTTTCAAATGGTTCAACTGAGGCCCAGAGTGTTTTCTGCTGGGCACTGTGAACACCAGGTCAGGTCGTTCTCTGGGGTGAGTGGTTAGGGCACAATAGGGTACTAAGCAGCATCCATCCACTCTATGCCAGGAGTTCTCCAGTCATGACAGCCATGCATGTCCTCAGACATTGTCCAGAGTCCCCTGGGCACAGCATCACCAGGTGAGCCCTGTGATGCTTCTGGCTGGGTCAGATTGGCTTCTGGCTGGGTCAGAAGCCAATGGTTCTTTTTTGCCAGCACTTTATGCCACATGGCTGGTGGATAACAGGGCAACTGCAGACCATGGATTTCAGGGCTAGAGGTGCCACATGCCTCCCTGGCATGCCGACTCCCAGAGATTCTGACATCCATGTCTTATCTCTTAATATAGTGACACACCTCCCCCCATGGCCAGGTCACACTCCACTGGGTCCCTTCTTTGCCCACACAGAGCCATAGCTACCCTCTAGCTCTGGGTCAGGGTGGCCAAGCCTTCCTGGTCTTGCTGGTAGGTACCACACCCATGGCTCTCTTCTGTAGAGACGAGGCTCAAGTTGCCCCAGGAAACGCCCCACAGAAAGGCCCCACACCTGCCACCCTGGTCTGACATGGGTCAGACCCTAGATCCTAGGGACTGAGTAGTCAAGGGCCCACGCCCACATGATCCTTTGCCTGTGACTGCCAACTGCCCAACACCTTGCACCTGTCCAGGTGATCCACTCTGCTACCAAAGCTGCTGTCAGGTTGTCGGCCAGGTGGCCCCCATACACAGTCATCTCAATGTCTGCATGCTCACCCCAGCAAGACAAGCATCAGCCTCATTTCACCAAAGAGAAAGCGAGGCAGGGTGGCTCTCCTCCCAACTAGTAGGGACAGAGCTGGCCTGGGCCAGGCCCACCTGAGGCCTCCTGCCTTAGGTTCCTAATTTGCCTCCTGGTTCCTCATTATTGTGCACAGACTTTCCAACACTAATGAAACCATAGTCCAGAAAAAAGCCCAACCCGCCATTGACTATGGCGGTGGCCCTCTGTTTGCTTCAGGGACTTTCCAGGGACAGTTCTAGGGATTTCCTTCAACAATGTCACCTAAGTAGGGTAGGGAGGAGAGGCCCAGAGTTCAGGCAGGAGGGAGCCCACCACAGGGGCACAGAGGGTGTTTCAGGGCCTCCATGGCCTTTTGGTGGCACCATCACAGCCTCCTGCCTTGGGAGGAGACATCTTCTTAGGCCTGGTCTCAGAGTCTCAGGGACCAACCAGACTACTAAAGATGTAGGCTCATCTTTTTTTTTTTTGCAGTACTGGGATTTGAACTCAGGGCCTACACCTTGAACCACTCCACCAGCCCTTTTTTTTGTGTTAGGTATTTTCAAGATAGGGTCTCGAGAACTATTTGCCCAGGCTGGCTTTGAACCAGATGCTCCTGGTCTCTGCCTCCTGAGTAGCTAGGGTTACAGACGTGAGCCACCAGCGCCCAGCTTGGGCCCATCTTTCTTTACAAAAACTTTATGCCTGTCTACCACACTCCCATAAGGATTGTTCAAAGAAACAGGGCAGCAAAAGGGGTAAAGACCACATTCAGACTCTTCTCAGAAAATGGAAGAATTTTTTTTTTAAGTAGAAGTAATTCTTTTCTAGAAGAAAAACTCTGCCTGAATGGGCAGAGTTCCATCAAAAGCCAACAGTTGGTTCAGTGATAAAATGCTTGCTTAGCATATATGAGGCCCTGGGTTTGATCTCCAGCACAAAAAAAAAAAAAGCCAATGGTTTTGTCCAAAACAAACATGCCTTCTACCGCCAAGAGGTGACCAAGGGAAGAAGCTCCCCCCCCCCGACAGACTGCCACAGGACATCAAGCTGGGCCTGAGTGATGGCCTCCCCGCCACTGCTCCCAAGTCCCAGTCACCGTTTCTAGGGTCCTTGCTCTCTGGTCCTTAGTATACTTCCAACAGCTTCTCAGAACCTCTTGGCTCTCCTGGTCTTCCCTACACAACAGATGAGATATTAGTGACACCTGGAAACTTCTAAAAGGATGAAAGATAAGATGACAAAGTCCCCTACCCTGAAATATGCACTCTTTCTTCTAATTTTTTCCGAAAACAAAAAACACAGCACAGTTCCTCTAAGCAACCGTCATGACTCCTCCCTGACCAAGGTGTGGCACACAGCTCAAAAACCCACAGTCACTCACTTCCTTCCGGAGGCTTCCACATCCTGCCACCACTGTGGGGAACAGGCTTCGGGCCCAAGCTCAGAGATTGTCTCCATGTTCTTGATCAGTGTTGATCAGTGTGCAACACTGGCCCCCAGCCTGCCAGTCCTAATATTTGGTAGGAAGATGCTGGAAGCCTGGAACGTGCCCTGTGAACAAAGGCAGCACTCCAGAGCCACCTTCACATTGAAATGCTATTACTGCTGGGTGTCTGTGGCTCACACCTGTAATCCTAGCTACTTGGGAGGCTAAGATTGGGAGGATTACCACTCAAGGCCTGCCCACGCAAACAGATTGAGAGACCTATCTTCAAAATAACCAGAGAAAAATAAACTAGTCATGTGACTCAAATGGTAGCATGTCTGCTTTGCAAGTGAGAAGCCCTGAGTTCAAACCCCAATCCCACAGAATAAATTAAATGCTAATCCTGGGGCTGGGGATGTGGCTCAGTGGTAAGCACCAGCTTAGCTTGCCTGAGGTCCTGGGTTTATCTCCAGCACTGCAAACAAACAAACAAAAAAACAAAAAGAGGCACTGACACAATGCCTCAGTTCCTTGCCTCCTGTTGCTTCTTCAGCTCACCGACAGTATTTTTTAATGAGTCATGAATAATACCTGACAGGGACCACACTTCTGGCCCAGGGCACCTGGCAGATGCTCTTTCTCCTTCCTACTCAATGCAGGCCAACCCTGTTGGTTTGTCTGTCAGGGAATCTAATCCAGTCTCCAGTGAGACAGGCGGATGAAAACTAGGACAATTCTTTTCTTTCTTTCTTTCTTTTTTTTTTTTGCAGTACTGGGGTTGAACTCAGAGCCTTCATCTTGAGCCACTCCACCACACCTTTTTTGTGATGAGTTTTATAGAGATAGGGACTTGGGAACTATTTGCCTGGGCTGGCTTCAAACTGCGATCCTCCTGATTTCTGCCTTCTGTGTAGATAGGATTAGAGTCATGTCAGAATTCTTAACTCTTGCTTTTTGGTTGCTGCACCTAACACATGACATTGAGCACTTCCTGTAGGGCAGGTACTGCCCCATTCTTTAGGTCAGGAAGCTGAGGTTGGCTACCTTCCTAAGAGCAGACAAAGGTCTGAGATCAGGCCTGAGTCTCAATCTTTAGATTCCAAATATGGTACATTTCCCACTAGACCAGGCTCACCCTGGACACTGCAGGGTACAGGTACTGAGCACCCCCAGTTGTGACAGCCATAGTATCCCTAGATGTTGCTCAGGTCCACTGGGGGTGGGGGGTGCGGGGGCAGGATGTGTTCAGATTAGAGCCTCTGCAATAGATCAGCAACCCTCTTCTGCTATACAAGTGATTCCTCTGCAGGGTTTCTGGGGGCTCCCAACCTGGCCCCTGGCCTGAGAGACTCAGTCCTGGGCACTGCCAGCAAGACTCATACTGTCTTGATTTTCAGAGGCACATGGAACCTTCTTCCCCACATGGCTATCCCTGCTCGGCATACTCTTTGTCCCCAGGGGGTTGGTGACCCTGTCTTGCATACCCCTGGCCACTTCCTTCTCTTTTAGTCCCACCTGGTGGCTCAGAAAGTGGCGTGGGTGGGGTCAGGGCCAAGACTACTTGTGTCCCCTACTCCCAACACATCCACATGGAGCAGTGGCTATTTGGTCCCTCCCTTACCCTGGGGACATGTGTGGCTGTCATGACTGAGGATGCTCCTGGCACAGAGTGGGTGGAGGCCAGAGATGTCTCAGCAACCTGCAGGAACCAGGAAACCCCCACAGAGAATGATAGGCCCAGTGTACACAGTGCTAAGGAGAGCCACTGTCCAGAGCTTCCATAGGAAGTAGAAGACAGTTCCTTCTTCTCCTCTCCTGGCAGTACTTGGTGGATGAACAGGACATTAAGTGCGACAATGAGAAAAAAAAAAAAAAGTACTATATTATAACGTTCTTAACAAAAAACCCAAAGGCTCTGCATCAAAATTATGATCAGCTGGGCATGTTCAGGTACACATCTGTCATCCCAGCCCTCAGGAAGATGGGGCAGAGGATTGAGCGTTCCAGGCCAGCCTGGGCTACACAGGGAGACCATGTCTCAAAATATAACAAAAACAAACAACAAACAAAAATCAAGATCTTAGAGGAAATCAACTGTAGCTTATGGGAGAGCAACCCTTAGAATACAGAGCCCAGTACAAGTAGACCATGGAGTGCTTCCCTCAAAAACTTTCCTGTACCCAAGGCCAGAAACAAGGAATCCCTGGCCCCCAGGGCACATCTAGTGTCCTACATGAAAAGATAAGTTGCAAATAGTGTGGTTAAAAAATAAGCCAGGTTCCAGTGACTCATGCCTATAATTCTAGCTACTCAGGAGGCGGAGATCTAGAGGATGGCAGTTTGAGGCTAGCCTGGGAAAAAAGTTTGTGAGACCCCCATTTTAACCAATGCCTGGGTGCAGTGGCATGTACCTGTCATCCCAGCTACATCAGAAGCACAAATATGAGGATCATGGTTCAAGCCAGCCTGAACCATGTCAAAAATAACCAGTGCAGCTGGGCGTTAGTGGCTCTCACCTGTGATCCTAGCTACTCAGGAGGCAGCGATCAGGAGGATCACAGTTCTAAGCCAGTCCAGACAAATAGTTCTTGAGACCCTAACTCAAAAAAAAACATCACAAAAAAGAGCTGGTGGAATGACTCAAGGTGAAGGCCCTGAGTTTAAACCCTAGTACCACAAAAAAAAAAAAAAAAAAAAAGACAAAAAAAACACATTTGGGGGCATGCCTCATGTGGTAGAGTGCCTGCCTAGCAAGCACAAGACCCTAAGTTCAAACCCTTGTACCACCAAAAAATGAAAAACCAAACAAACAAATGCCAGGTGTGTTGGCATGTACCTGTAATCCCAGTGCTCAGGAGGCTTAAGCCAGTGCTCGAGATCTAGGCCAGTCTGAGCTACACAATTAGAGCCCGTCTAAAAAAAACAAAGTAAAAACAAAAAAGAATTCAGTACATTCAAGAAAAAAAGAAGGAAGAAGTGTGGCTCTCCCTGGAAGCAAGGTGATGACAGGTGAGATTCCTGTCCTATGGTATAAGTGTTTGTCATCTGAGGGGTCTTTATAATAATGTACCTTTAGGCTTTCAGGTCTAAGCACAAACAGAAAAAGAAGTCACTCAGAGATAATCAAAAGATAAAGGGGGATGGCTGGTGGTGGCTCACATCTGTAATCCTAGCTACTTGGGAGGCTGAGATAGGGAGGATCATTTGGACAAATAGTTTAAGAGACCCCACCAACAAACTGACCAGACTGGAGGTGTGGCTCAAGTGGTAGAGTGCCTACTTTGCAAGTGCAAAGTCCTGAGTTCAAACTCCAGTCCCACAAAAAAAAAGGAAAAGGACTAGGGTGCGGCTCAGTGGGGAGCAGTTGCCTAGCATATGGGAGGCCCTACGTTACATTCCCAGCACTGCATTACACACACACACACACACACACACACACACAGGAAGTCTTGAGAAAAAGGAAGGCATCCTCTTTGGGACTGGAGCTGCCTTCTGCCCAGAATCTGATTTCTGAAGTGGGATTTGCCTTTCCTCGTTAAAGCATTTAAACCCCAGAATTCCAGGAAATCAGAAGCCTCACCCATTAGCCAGGAAATGCTAAAAACTTTCCACAGTACAACCCACACTCGGCTGACTGGCTGGCAGGCAGGCAGAGGGGAATTCTGCAGCCTCCCCTTGCAGAGGTGCTTCCATGGGCCACTGGCTCCTGACATACAATAAGCAGTGGACTTTTCAGAGAATGTAGGGCCTATGTGGTTTTTATATGTGACACATACACCTGATGACACTTGATGAAAATCTGAGAGGTTCAACAAGTTCAGGAACTGAAACAGCACTTTTGAAAACCTCCCAAGAGATGAAAATAACACTGTCTCTTGGGTTCCACCCCAACCACTGAAAAAAAAAACCTATAAAAAAGTCCTTGTAGCTGGGCATAGTAGCATTGGCCTGTAATCCCAAGGCACTTGTAAAGATAGAGTTCCAGGCCTGCCTGGAACTGACCTGGGAGACTTTGTCTCAAAAAAAGCCAAAATAAGCCAACTGCAGGTGGCTCATGTCTAATCCTGGCAACACAGAGATAGAGATCAGGAGGACTGTGGTTCAAAGCCAGCCCAGGGAAACAGTTTGAGAGACCCTATCTTGAAAATACCCAACACAAAAAAGGGCTGGTGGAGTGGCTTAAGTGGCAAAGCGCCTGCCTAGCAAGTGTGAGGTCCTGAGTTCAAACCCCAGTACTGCCAAAGAAAAGAACAAAGAAATGGAAGATATCAAAACAGCCCCTTCCCACAGTGAAGCCCAGGTAAAAGGTTCTGAGCTATGGAAAGACCCACAGGAGCCCTTGCAACCCATCACACAGGGAAAGTGCCCAATCTGAACAAGGCACACTCGTGATTCCAACTACCTGGCATTCTGTAAGAGGCAAAACTATGGGGGCAGTAAAAGTCAGCAGCTGTCAGGAGGATGAGTAAGAAAAGCATACTGTGTGGTACTATAATGGTGGATGCATGTCACTGTACATTTGTCCAAACCCAAGTATGTCCAACCCCCCAAGTAAGAACACAGAGCCAAATGACAACAGTTGTAACTAAGCTGCTTTTAGAACCAATCATGTGCTTCTCTGAACTACAGCCCACAAAGGTCTCCAGTGAGCAATGAGAAACTGTAAGGATGCTTTGGCCATCAAGGACCTTCCTCGATGCACCACTGCTCCACACTGTAAGGCTTTTAATACATATCACCTGTGGACTCGTGATGATGTGACAATGGAGGTTCCGCTGAGGTGAACACACCTACTTGGTATGGGATGTTGGAGGAGGCGTCTATGGGAACTCTGTGCCTGTCATTCAATTTTATTGTGAACCTATGCTAGGGAAGGTAGTGTCCACCTGTAGTCCCAGCTACTCAGGAAGCTGAGGCAGGAGGATCACTGGAGCCCAGAAGTTCAGGACAAGCCTGGGCTTTAAAGAGAGTTTGTCTCTTTGAAAAATAATAACTAGCCAGGCACCAGTGGCTCACACTTATAATCCTATCTACTTAGGAGGCTGAGATCAGAATGCAGTTGAGGACAGCCTGGGCAAAGAGTTCCAGAGCAAAATAGACTGGAGATGTAGCTCAAGTGATACAGCATCAGTTTTGCAAGTGTGAAGCCCTAAATTTGAACCCCAAGTTTGCCCCCCCCAAAAAAAATAATAAGTAGGTTTGGGGATGTAGCTCAACGGTAGAATGCTTGCATAGTATGTAAGAGGTCCTAGATTCCAACCCCAGCACCACAAAAAAGATGTATACCCACAAAAGTAGAAAATGGGCACCAGTGGCTCACATCTGTAATGCTAGCTACTCAGGAGACAGAGATCAGGAGCATCTCGTTTCAAAGCCAGCTCAGGCGAATAGTGAAAAAATCCTTCACATAAAAGGTTGGCAGAGTGTCTCAAGATCTAGGCCCTGAGTTTGAACCCCAGTACTGAAAAAAAAAGTAGAAAATGAAGAACCCCATGAAAGAAGGGGTTCAACAAATATTTACTTAAAGAATTAACGCCATGGCAGGCTCAAGATGTATGACAGCCAAATATATAACTCTAAATTTTCTAGTAAACTACATTAAAAAAATACAGATGAAATGATTACATCATAATATACCTATTTATAAATTGGATATATCCTAAGTCAAAAATTCATGTAATTGCTTGGGCATGGTGGCACACACCTGTATACTACTCGGGAGTTAGAGATAGGACTGAGGTTCAAGCCCACCCTGGGCAAAGTAAATGTGAGACCCTATCTGAAAAATAAACTAAAAACAAAAAGGGCTGGGTATGGCTCAAGTGGTAAGCACTTGCCTAGAAAGTGTGAGGCCACAAGTTCAAATCTCAATACCGAAAAAAAAAACCCAAAAAAAATGCATGTTACTCACACAACCTGCCAAACATCACAGTTGAGCCACATGGCATACTGCAGAGCATTGGTGGTTCCCCTTGTGACTACAGGGCTGACTGGGAGCCTCATCACCCTGCTGCCATCTAGGATAACAAGATGATACCAGTCCTGGAGATATCAAAATTCCAAACTCAAAGTACACTTTCTAGTAAATGTATACAGCTTTCACATCATCATAAATTCAAAGTTGGGGCTTTCTGCATCCTATTTAATCCAACTGAGCTAACATTATTGTAATATCCAATACATAAAGTATCAAAGTGACATTGTGTAGTCTCTGAGATCTGGTGTGCATATACTCAGAACACATTCCAACTTGGAATGGCCACGTTCAAGGCCTCCACAGCCATATGTAGCTCTGGCTGCTGAACTGGTCACTCAGCTCTAGAGAGTTAAAAGAAAGATTGCCCAGGAATGGGCATGGTTTGAGGTGGGACCTGATTCAGGAAAGGTAGACATCAGGGAGCCCTGCAACAGGGATATGCTAGATTTTTACATTCTTCGTTCTCATTCTATACTAAATAAATTTCTTCAATGAGTTCTAACAACAGATTCTGGAAAGGTGGGTTAAGAACCTGGCTTCCAAGCTGGGCATGGTAGCTCAAGCTTGTCATCCTAGCTACACTGGAGGCTGAGATAAGGAGGATCATGGTTCCAGGACAGCCTGGGGGAAAAAAATTCAGGAGACCTCATCTCTATGGAAAAAGCTACAGGAGCCCCATCATCTCTACTATAGCAAGAAGCCTAAAATAAGAGGACTGTAGTCTAGGCTGGCCCATGCAAAAAGCAAGACCTTATCTCAAAAATAACCAATAACTCTACTACTTGCTGGTGGTCAAATAGTAGAGCACCTGCCTAGCAAGCAAGAAACCCTGAGTTCAAACCATCGGTGGCCACAGCGGTGTAGGCGTTGGGGTAGAGGAAGAACCTGTTAGAAGTGTTCAGAGCTTTGACTCTGAGCACCTCTCTTGCCTGGGCCTCCTGCATCACTCTCTGCAGCCACTCCTGCCTCCTGAGGTCTTCAGCTGTCACCTTCCCAAATCTCCTTCACTTCTAAAACAACCAAATAATCCAACAACTAAGCATCAGGTTTTCCCTCCACTGAAGAAAGACCTGAGCCAGGCTCTGGTGGCTCATACTATAATCCTAGATACTCAGGAGGCAGAGATCAGGAGGATAGCAGTTCAAAGCCAACCCAGGCAAACAGTTCTCAACACCCTATCTCAAAAGAACCCCTCACAAAAAAAAGGGCTGGTGGAGCTGGGCGCCAGTGGCTCACGCCTATAATCCTAGCTATTCAGGAGACTGAGATTAGGAGGATTGTGGTTCGAAGCCAGCCAGGGCAAATAACTCTGCAAGACCCTATCTTGAGAAAACCTTCATAAAAAAGGGCTGGTGGAGTGGCTCAAGGTGTAGGCCCTGAATTGAAGCTCCAGTACCGCAAAGAAAAGAAGGGGGGAGGGGGTTTATGGAGTGGCTCAAGGTGTAGTTCAAACCCCAGTACTGAAAAAAAAAAACAAAGAGCTGGCCTGCAAAGGAAGTGACCTCTGCGTCCAGCAGAAGAGCAAACTGAGTCTCATGTTCCAGACCAAGAACACAACTAGCAGAGTAACATGACTGTCCTTAAGCCATCACAAGGGTGGGGGTGGAGAGGTAGATTAGGGAGGCCTGAAAATGGGCCTCTGCAAGTTTGTGAAGCCCCAGGAAGAAGGAGCTGACTAGGTCTGAGGCTGGTTAGGCACTGCTCATCCCCTTGCCTAAAAGAGGTAAATACCAAACCAGAAAATACAAGGAAATGCATGTGTGCATACCTCACAATTTATCCACCCTCTCCTTTGCAATTTGGGTATTTTATGACAGTTAAACCAGTACATAAATAGGGGGCAGAGGAGGAAGAAGTTGTATGTACAAAGAATGGAAACCTTACCCCTAAGTAGTTTCTGCTTTGTGACCCTGTTTTCTAATCTCCCCCCACACTCCCTTTTCAATGGCTTTTATAAGAATGTGGTTCTTTGGGCCGGCATGCCAGAGTGTGGTAAAGCACCTGCCTACCACACAAAAGGTCATCTCCAGCACCAAACGTGGTCCTTTAAAACAAATTCACAAATTCAAGGACAAATAAGTACCTTATTTTTTTTTTTTTTTTTTGGTGATACTGGGGTTTGAACTCAGGGCCTCACGCTGGCTAAGCAGGCATTCTATCACGTCAGCCACGCCCACATCCCAAGGAAGGACTTTTTTAGGTTATGTATTTATTTTAGTGGTGGTGGTACTGGGGTTTGAGCTCAGGGCTTCACACTTGCTAGGCAGGCGTTCTACCGTTTGAGCCACACATCCAGCCCCATGAAAGGACTTTTAAAGTCTTGGATGTAGTGGTTTGAGCAAATGTCACCCCTACACCTGCTCAGTGACTCGGGGTCCAGAGCAACAAGGTTTAGCCCCTGAGTGGGTTTGGGGGAGGGGAGAGGGCTGGAGGCCCTGGGGGATTTTACCCCAAATCGGGAAGCTGGTACTCTTTAGTGCTGAGTGACGGGGAAAGGGCCAGTGTCCAAAGGACAGCTCAGAACCACAGTTTGACTCAGCACCCGTCTGGACACCATCCCCACCGGTCTTCGCCTTCCCAAGGATCCGGCCTTCCCAAGGATCCGGCCTTCCCAAGGATCCGACCTTCCCGCCGCCCGCCTTCTCCCTCCGAATACTCAGCTTCCCCGCCACCTACTTTGGTCCCTCCTGACAGATCAGTAATCTTGCCTCACGACCGCTGCCTGCCTTCATCCTTCCCAGGACTCACCTATTCGCCTCACGCCCTGCGGCTCACCAGCACTCGCGGATCACAGCTCGCCTGTCTCCCGCCACCCTTTTTTCCCTATCTGCGGAAGGACACGCCCGCGGAGGAACACACTAAAAGCCATGCCCCTACCGCACCCGCGGGCCGGACCTACTTTCCTTAAATAACCGGGTCCCGGATAGAGGCTTACGTCAGAACTCCGGAGAGCCCCGGATGGAGGCACAGGTCCGAAACTAGAGCCAGGCCTTGCTACCGTTGCATAGCAACCAGGACTGGTCGCTGCAACCATTGGCTGGTACCAGCGAGGGCTGTGGGCGGAGCTGGTAGTGCTTGGGGCGCGGGGCGGAGCTTCAACAGGGGTTAGCCCACAAAGTACAGATGGAGTTGGCCGTTGGCACCACTGGGGAGCTGGGGGGGCGGGGCCAAGGTGAAGTGGCGTCTTCTTATTGAATGACGTCTAGTAGGCGGGTGCTGGAGGCGGAACTGGCACAGCCAATTGCCTGTTGAGACCAGGGGCAGGTCCTGATGAAAGGGATAGAGAGAGAAGGTGCTGTGAAGGGACCGAGCGCGCGCGGTTGGTTGGTGTGGGCCGAGGGGGCGTGGCGCGGGCGGCGCCGTTGGTTGGTGCGCGGCTGGATGGCGTGGCGCCGGCGGGCCATGGCCCTCCTGCTGTTCCTGAGTATGACCGCGGCGCTGGCCCGCGGCTGCCTGCACTGCAACGGCAATTTCTCAGAGAAGTTCTCCTTCTACCGCCACCACGTAAATCTTAAGTCCTGGTGGGTGGGTGACATCCCCGTGTCTGGGGCGCTGCTCACCGACTGGAGTCTGGACACGATGAAGGAACTGCACTTGGCCATTCCCGCGGAGATCAGTGAGCGTGGATCCCAGCCCCGGGTAGGCTGGACATCCAACGAACCCACCCCCCTAACCCGGCCGGGCCGCTCACCTGCCTCCTCTCCCTCCTCCCACCCGCAGCCCGGGAGAAGCTGGACCAAGTGGCGCGAATAGTGTATCATAGGATGGACCAGCTGTACCAAGGGAAGATGTACTTCCCGGGTAAGGAGGGGGAAACTGAGGCAGAGCCCGCTCATACCATCCACCGCCTAAGCCTGACCTCCTTGTTTTACCTCCCCGACAAGGGTATTTTCCCAATGAACTGCGAGCCATCTTCCGGGAGCAAGTGCATCTCATCCAAAATGCCATCATCGAAAGTAAGCAGAGAGCCAGGCGTAGCGGTGCATGTCTGTAATCCCAGCATTCAGGAATTGGAGGCAGGAAGATCTCTAGGTCGAGGCCAGCCTGGGCTACATAGTGAGACCCTGTCTTAAATAAATAAAAACAGATGTGGGCTCAGGAGGGCTCCATGCACAGAGCCTCAGACTCTCCAGGGCTGGGGGCCCAGAACTGGCAGACGCTAGGGGAACAGGGGAAATGGGACAGCTTCCCAAGAGGGGCTGTTTTCATCCCATGTTCATTAGCATATCCATTGAAGGATAAATGCCACTATCCCCTAACAAGTCCCAAACTAGTCCTTTAGAGGTGCTGGAAACCTTGCAGCCATTCTCCTTTGAGGATTGCTTTGTCCCACCCTGGGGGCCACCTCAGGGACCCCTTCCCTCTGGGTCATGGACATACACATTCATAAAGCCAGGTGTGCCTGTGAGGCTGGGTCTGGTTAGAACACACTGTCCTGTCCCCCCACAGGTCGCATTGATTGTCAGCATCACTGCGGTAAGTAAGCCTGGGTGCAGGCTGAGAGGTGCAAGCAGCAGGGGTCTGGGCTGGAAGGCTCAGGGAGCCCATGGCCGACTCTCATGTATTGCAGGCATCTTCCAGTACGAGACCATCTCCTGCAACAATTGCACGGACTCACACGTCATCTGCTTTGGCTACAACTGCGAGTAGGACTCAGCTACAGCCCCCACCTGTGGGAAGGACCCCACTGGCTGTGGGGTCCTGGGATCATCACCTGGGTAGGGTTGGGTCTGGGGCTTGGAGCCTTTCACCTTCAAGCCCTGTGTTTCCACAGGTCATCGGAGCAGTGGGAGTCAGCTGTTCGAGGCCTTCTGAGTTACTTGTGAGTTGGAGTCTTTGATTGCCAGCAGGCTCACTGCCTGGGCTCAGGGAGGGGACACCAATCAAGGCTACTCAATCCGCTCACTCCAGACCTGCTCTCTTTGTAGACATAATTGGCACAAGTAAGTCTTCCCACCTCAAATGCAACACCAATTTTGTCAGAGCAGTGTGCATGCGTGAGTATGTTCTGGAGGAGGGAGTATACAGGGGGTGGCTCTCGGGGCCTACAGAGGGGCCACCAGGAGGGACGGCCTTGCCTTCTCTGAGCTTTCAAAGGACACAGCCCAACCCTTTCCTCCCTTAAGAGTCTTTGAGCTCACCTGGAGGAAGGGGGACAGATCATCTTGGCTGTAGGGTCCCTGTAGAACCTGGTGGCAAAGTTGCACTTAGTGGAGCTAAGGGCCACAGGCACAGCCTCGGCCCCAGAACAGGAGGTCTAACTAGAGCCCCATTCTGTCTTTCAGACAGGACACCAGCATGAGGTAAGGACTGGCCTTCTGCAGGGGAGGTGCAGGGAAGGGAGAGGGAATGAAGAACTGGTGCTATGGTGTCCTCTGGGTCTGTGTGTGTGTGGGGGGAGGGGGGATATTGGATAGGGCCGGCACTGCAAGCAGGGCTCTGCACCTGGATGTGCTGGACACCTACTGTGCAGCCACACTCATGTGGTTTTCCTCTTCATCGTCTCATCTGGGACATGCAGAATCACCCCAGCCTTGTGAGTGACCCTGGGAAGGAGGCTACAGGGAAGCAGGTGACCTCTGGGGGAGGGGGTGCCCTAAAACCAGAAATCCCCAACCAGTGGCTGTTTGCCACAGGCTCCATCCCTCCCCCCATGCCCTATTGCAGGAGGGAGGCTCTGCCACTTTCTTGGGGACACAGACAGAATCTCAGCCAGTCACAGGCTGAGTAGAGTCCCAGGGCCCCCAGCAGAAACCATAGGAGAGGGAGGCAGGGGAGCAGGTAAGAAAGGACTGAGGGCACCATGTCCCCATAGCCTGACATCATCAAGCTTCACCTGTTTGGAGTTGGCCAACCTAACACTGGAAAATGTTACTGAGTGCCTGACCCAGCACTGACAGTGGTTGCTTTGCCCCAGGCCACAATGGAGCCAGGACTCAGCTGGACTGTCCTGGACTGTTCCTCTGGAGTAGGCTTGCTGCTGCCTCGGGTTTCCCTCTCCATCCCTCAGGTTTCCCCCTCCATCCCTTGGGTTTCTCCCTCCATTCTCCATGGAACCCAAAGTGTGCTGGGGTGGGTGGGGGGAGGGAGACGGATTTGCATACACAGAGCATTGGTCCATGGTCAGGGCCGCAGAGCTGTTTGAAGGGACCATTAAAGACTCTTGTCATTTCTCACTGGAGACCAGTTCTTGGGCAGGAGAAAGGAGCTGGGGGACTTCTGGGGAGGTCTAAAGGCCCCCACCTGAGCATAGTGGGTGGGTCCCAGCCAGCAGATGTATCTGGGCATTCATGAGCAGGTTCCTGGGAAGAAAATAGTGTTTTTTCAATCACACAGAATAAGCCTGCAGATGAGTGAAAGCCAGGCCAGTTTTTTTTTTTTCCTTCATATTCCTTGTATGTATCAAAACTCATATTGTACAATGAGTTCTGGGTTGGAAAAGATAACTTACTTTTATTTTTTGGTGGCACTGGGGTTTGAACTAAGGGCCTCCTGCTTGCCAAGCAGGCACTCTACCACTTGAGTTACTCTGCTAGCCATTTTTTGGGTGTTTTGTGTGTTTGTTTTGCAGTACTGGGATTTGAATTCAGGGCCTACACCTTGAGCCACTCTACCAGCCCTTTTTTGTGATGGGTCTTTTTGAGAGTCTCCTAAAACTAATTTGCCTGGGGCTGGCTTTGAACATGGTTCCTCCTGATCTCTGCCTCCTGAATAGCTAGGATTAAAGGCCACGCCCAGAAAGTGCATTTATATTTTTTTGGTGGAACTGGGATTTGAACTCAAGACTTTGCACTTGCAACGCAGGCACTCTACCACTTCAACCACACTCACAGGACACACACTCAGTCCTATGTTGAATATTTTTGAGATAGGGTCTCGAGCTATTTGTTCAGGCTGGCTTCAACCCTCAATCATCTTGATCTCTTCCTCCTGTGTAGTCAGGATTACAGGCGTGAGCCACCAGTGCCCAGGCAGGATTTATTTTTTGCATCTGTCTATAAGTCTTTGTCCACAAGTTAAACAAAAACACAAGTGCTAGTCAAGACAGCTTTAATGCACTTTGGGGACTCAGACCAGAGAAGCCCAGAAACTGTGCATGATGAGTGGAGCTGATGTGGAGGGAGACCAGGGACTGAGGAAACACATGCACGCACACACACCACTGGTCCCACTCCTTACTTTGGGGTAGTTCCTTGCCCTCCCCGAACTGCAGTCATGTTCAATCATGTTCATTATGATTTCTGGCCTCCATGTTCATTAATGTTCTTGCACCTGAGAGCTCATTGGAGCATCTGTAGGTCAGTTAGAGTGGACATCTTAATGTGCAGCAGTGTGTGGCTGGTTCCTAAGGAGAGCCTTCTTCCAAACAAGACTCAGACATCACAGGCACACCTATGGGCTGAGCACAATCATAGGTGCTCAAAATCTTGTTGGGAGCTGGCCTTGTCCTTAGGGGCTTGTCGGGCCACATACCTTGTTGAGTTGTTCCTGAAGCCTCTTGGGTCTTAGCCAAAGGCTGGTATGAATGTTTAGGGAAAAGAGGCTGCAGGGTAGCATTTTGGGACAGTTGCAGGGTGGGTTAGCCTCAAGCCAGGGCTGGGGTCTCAGGTGAGTGTTTTGCTCTCCCAATCTGGTCAGTTTGATTGCCATACATGCGCATATTACTTGTTCCTTGTTCCTTGTCTACTCAGTGGCAGTAAGGCCAGCAGAGGTATGGCACGTTACTAGAGGTGAGGCTGGTCACTGTCCTGTGGTCTTTTCCGGCTGTAGATCCCACTCCCCCATCATAGCTCCACAGTGGGTTCTTCAGGCCAGAATGGGTTATGGTGCCCACTGGTGGGGTCTAGGGTTTCCTTACCTGCTACCACCCAAGCCCCAAGAGTCCAGATGGTGTGTTTGGAACCACAGTCACCTCCTGAAATGTTAGCTAGTCTCAAAGTACCTTGGGACCCTGTACTGGGTGCTGACCCCGGCCAAGGGCACACAGGCACTGGCAGGACAGGTGCCATTGGAATGTCTGTTTTGCAAACTTTATTGGATCATCTTAACACAAAATCATTACAGCAGCGTGATATGTCTCTCTCTTCTTTATATGGGAATGTCGACAGCAAAGTTATGTAACATCATACAATTTCAAAGTTGTAGAATCACAGCACGAGATTCTGTAATAGATTACACTACATGCTACAGTGACAGTTTTCATCAAAGGAGTTAAAACGTCATGGAGGACTGTCACCTAAGGAAGGTACGGCAAACATCCAGGCTGCTGGCTGTGCAGAGTAGTCCACTGGGGTCCCAGCACGTTGTCCACTGCTGCTTTACCCAGGAAGCGGCCCAAGGGCAGTCTGGTCAGCTGGGCAGGCAGTGAGGGCACCCAGGACACATGTCCTCTACACCAAACCCCACCCACATCCTTCAGACAGCTGTGGCTACAGGGATAGGCCTCGTGGTATGTAGTGACAACAGAGGGTCGAAGAATTGCACAACTCTACAGCTCACCCCTAACAGAGCCCAACAAAACATAAAAGGAAACAAGGGATCATCCCTGCTATCAGTGATTCTGTGCATGGCTCGGCCTGTGGCTGGGGATTCAGGGGTCCAGCTACCAGCCCACCAGCCCACAGATAGTGAACATGACCACATGACTGTGTTTCTCTTTGTGAGTTCTGGGGAGAGAAGCTCTGTGATGGCCAGATGGTTCACTTTTTCACAGATGCCACTGGTTAAGATGTTTAGGGACAAAAGCAAAAGCCAGTAGGCTCCCCCAGAGGCAGTGTGGAGCACAGGAGACCAGGGCTATGTCAGCCCTACCTTGTCTGCCCATCACCCATCACCCTGGTGCCACCAGGCGCTGACCCAGGGTCCTGCCACCTCCCGGGTGGCCTCTGTGACACATTGAAGAAGTCATCCCTCAGCACAGATAAGCAGAGCCGAATTGCTCCTTGCTGGTCAAGGGGACTAGAATCTTGCCAAATCTAGCATCTTGCCAAAGAAATGCAAAGAGTCAAAATAAAAAGGATAATAAAATAAATCAACACAAGACCTTGGAAGTCACACAGTGGACACTGGAGTTAAATTAATGCTCAGGTGTAGAACAGTACACAACAAAGGAGAGGTGAGATGTCAGATCTGGTGTCCATTGACCAGGTGTCCTCCATAGGCTGGGCTCTGGGTGGTGCTCAGCACTGAGCCAGTGTAGCCTTCATCTCCTCCAACAGGCTGCTCAGCAGTGTTGCATCACTGCACTTTCCATCCACTGACACCGAGCTCTCGCCCTGAGGGGAAAGCCATATGCAAGTCACACTGGGCACTGCATGGATCTGGGGCCTCATGTACCCTGGGTGAGTGCTCTGCCACTGACCCTGCCCTGTACTGGACATTTTTTTTTTTTTTTTTTTTTTTTGGTGGTGGTACTAGGGTTTTGAACTCAGGGCCTCAAGCTTGCTAGGCAGGTGCTCTACAACTTGAGCCACTCCACCAGCCCTGTTTTGTGTTGGGTATTTTCAAGATAGGGTCTAAAGAACTATTTGCCCAGGCTGGCTTTGAACCGTGATCCTCCTGATCTCTGCCTCCTAAGTAGCTAGGATTACAGTCATAAGCCATTGGCACTCGACTGAACTTTCAATTTGGCAAAACACTTCCTTTTGTATTGGTGCTTTGATAAGTGAGATGGGCGAGACAGTTAAGAGGAACATGGAGCATTTATGTGAGGTCACCATGGAGCCAACAGTGGCAGGCAGCCTAGAAATGAAAGCCAGAGTTCAGGGAGCCCCAAGGTGGCAGCAAGTGTACCCTTTCTTTCCTCCTGCCCTGGCCTCAGGTATAAGTGCCATTGTCTATGTGGGGAGGGGAGGTGAAACAGGGAAGTTAATATCCCTTCTCTCAGGCCAGGGGAGAATCTCAGGGAGGAAGGCCCAGACAGGGAGGCACCAGGGCAAACTGACCCAAAGGAACCTGCAGCTACCCGGCAGGGTGGCAGGGCTGTGCTGCATGCTCACCTTCTTCACCAGGAGGCAAACATGGTGGCCCTGGATGGAGCGGCTATACATGGAGGCACAGGAGTCCACTCGCTCCACAACTGTGACAGAACAATGGGTAAGGCCCACCTCTCTTCACAGAGCCCTCCCTGGAACTGCCTCAGCCATAGTTCCAAGGGGCCAAGAAGAGCAAGGGGTAGGGCCCAGGTCAAAATACACACACACACACACACAGACACACACACACAACAGCTGCAGGGCCCTCCCTGGAACTGCCTCAGCCATAGTTCCAAGGGGCCAAGAAGAGCAAGGGGTAGGGCCCAGGTCAAAATACACACACACACACACACACACACACACACACACACACACACACACACACACACCAGCTGCAGGCCAAACCACAAGGGACGCCCTGGGCTGCTGTAGGCTGACTGAGGAAAACCATGTAAGTGTGTAAATGCTGCACTGGGAAGCAGCCATATCACACACCCTTACCTGAAAAATGGTGATGAAAACAGATCTTTGCCAGAAGGTTGTGGAAGGACACACTAATGCCATCAACTTTGATGGAGCTCATGCTTAGGTCCCCAGATTCCAGCAATTTGGCGAAGGCATCACTGTGGGAAGGACACAGGGCAGGGAGGATGATGACAGCTATGCAAACAGTTCCCAGGATGCCTATGGTGGGGGTCTGTCCTTAGTGTGTCTGGGGTCTAAGAGGTCTCTAAGGGTGACATGTTACGGCTGAGCTGTGTCTTCCTAGAGACCCATATGCTGCATGCTGATCCTGCAACCTCAGGGTGTGACTATATGCACAGGCAGGGCTTTTAGAGATCATCAGGGTGGGCCCATCCTAGTAAGACCTGAACAAGACCAGACATGCATCTTAATCTAAAAACAATGAATGTAAAAGGGGGACTGCTGGGCTGAGAGGAACTAGCAGGAGAGAGGAAAGGGAAAGAGAGTGATAGGAGGATGAACATGATCAAAGTAAATTATGTATGAAACAGCATAATGAAACTCAGTAAAACTGTAAAAGGGATAGGGGTGGAGGAGGGGGAACAAAAAAGAACAACAGAGAGGGTGAATTTGATCAAAGTACATTATTATATGCATGTATGAAAATACCACAGTGAAACCCTTTTGTACAATTAACATATGCTAATAAAGGTTTAAAAAAATCAAAAAGGCACACAGACATGTAACTGGTGGCACATGCCTATAATCCCAGTATTAAGGAAGAAAGCAGGAGACACGAAGATTGTGAACTGGGCTCAAGTGGTACAGCACTTGCCTAGCAAGCATGAGGGCCTGAGTTCAAGCCCCAGTACTGCCAAAAAAACAAATAAACAAAAACCAAACAAACACAAAAAAAAAAGATCTGCCAGGTGCCGGTGGCTCATTCCTATAATCCTAGCTACTCAGGAGGCAAAGATCAGGAGGATTGAAGTTCAAAGCCAGTCTAGACAAACAGTTTTCAAGACCCTATCTCAAAAAAAAAAAAAAAACTCTTCGCAAAAAAGGGGTTTTTGGAATGGCTCAAGGTATAGGCCCTGAGTTCAAACCTGCCAAAAAAAAAAAAAAAAAAAAGCTCACTGGCTCATATCTGTAATCCCAGCTACACAGCAGGCCATACACAGGAGTATCGAGTATTGAGGTTTAGGCTGGCTCTGGGCAAAAATGCCAGCTACCTAAAAAATAAGTACAGCAGTATATAGGCTAGGAGCATAGCTTAAGTGGTAAAGCACCTGCCTAGCAAGTGTGAAGGCTTGAGTTGAAAGCCCAGTACCACCAAAAAAAAGACAACATACTGAGAGGAAGAAGTCACCATCTGCAAGCCAAGAAGGGTACTTCAGGAGGAGTCAGCCCTGTGACACCTTGACCTTGACTCCAGCCTCCAGGACTGGGGGAGGACATGAGTCCAGACTTGAGGTCGCCAGTCTGTGGTGCCTGTAACAGCGACCCTAGCAGACTGAGTAGTGCCTGCCACATAGGAGGATCAAGGAACTTCCCAGAATACCTGGGCCCCAAGGATGCACCTGTAACATGGTGTGGTGATCAGGTATGAGCTGCAGCTGAAGAGCAGCCTGAAGTCCAGCTTCTCATGAGTGGCCCCATCATTGTCCTGTGTGGAGGAAAGGTGGCAGTTGAATGGGGAGTTACCCCAGTATAGGGCTCCCCAAAGTGCTCACTTCTTCTGGGCCCAACACCCACTGGGACAGGGTGAAGGAGGTTATGGAGCTGTCAAGAGTTTGGGGTACTGTCACTCTGCAGGACTCAGCAGTGTCAACAGAAGTGTCAAGGAGGTAGGGTTCAGAGTGTGTACCTTGGCGATGAATGATAGTGTGCCCTTGAGCTTCTGGGCCATTACGATGTTCTGAATGGTGAACACAAACTGGGCTTCATTGGAGACTCCTGGCAGGGATGAAAAACAGCAGCCTAAGACCCAGTGGGGGCTGAACTAGGGTTTCCAGGGTTTGTCCAAGTGGTGGTTCTATGGTATCCTATGGCATTTGTGAAGCTGGGGAGTATTACGGATACTGGGACAGGTAAGGGGCTATTGGTGCCCCAAACCTATCTTGTCTCCATTTCATAGGAGACAGGCTCAGTTACCAGGCAAGGAAAGCCCAGGTGCCTCATCCTGACCTGGAGGGCTCCATCATGACATGCTCAAGGTCACAGTATTCCTCTGAGAGCCAGGAGACTCCAGACACTTGGAGGCCTTGGAGTCTGCAGTCTCCATAGGCACCAAGAAGTCTGGGTTGGAGTCCACTTCTTCAGGGACAGAGGGGAAGAGGGGAGCAAGCAACAGGAGCTGGCTCCTCCCAAGAACCACTGGCCTCCCCCAATCGCTCACAGTACCCAGGACAAGCCCTAAATGGAGCTCACCTGGAGGCAACTGGAAAGGCACAGGAACACCGTCATGGACAGAGGAGCCCTCTGGCCGGGCCATCTTGGTGTTGAGAGAGTCCAGAACATTGAGCTCCATGTTCTTCAGGAAGCTGCTGCTCTGGTTCTCCAGGATGACTGACACGGTGACCTGGCTGTCCTTCTGTAGGCTGGCCTGGATATCGTATGTCTGCATAAAGCAAGGCCAGGGTGAAGGGCAGTGTATGCACTCTAGGGACTGATCAAGAGTATGAGTTCATTGCCAGGACCAAGGACAACTGCTCCTATACTGACTAAAAGTGATACTTGTTCCACAGATGTGGAAAAGCAGTGAGGAAGGTTCTCTGCCTATCCCATCCAGGAACGCACCTGTGTGGAGGTCTGTCTGCAGCCCCAACCTTTGTGGGGTTTCTTTTGGCCACAATGGGGTTTGAACCCAGGATTCTGCACATGCTAAGCAAGCACTGTACTGCTAAGCTACATCCACAGCCCTTGATTTTGTTTTGGTTTTTTTTTTCTGTTTTATTAAGACAGGGTCTTGCTCTGTAGCCTAGCCTGTCCTAGAACTTGTGATCTTCCTGCCTCTGCCTTCCTACCTCCCCAGTGTTGGGATGACAAGTCTGCTCCATCATGCCCAACTTTCCTGTCTTTTGTGTTAACACACAATGCTGATCTTCAGGCGGCTGGCTGTCTGCACTGTCACACAGTCAAAAGCACAGCTGGGGTGGGTTGCTGCAGCCCTTCAAGGTTTCCCTACATCCCTTTGCTTCAACAGAGAAGGGCACTACCCCTGCAGTAGCACCCCCACCACTCACCATCTTAATGTACGAATTCTCAGCAAGGAGGCAGTAGCTGGACATTGGCTAGGATAAAGGAGAGAAAGATCAGCTGTGGGTGACAAGGACCCTAAAGCTGTGGTGCTGCCCAATGATCAAGTGTGACATAGCACCAGGCCCTCATTGTGCTAAAGTCGAACTCCTGGCTCCCAGGCCTACGCAGTCTACACCACAAGGTCTGCCCTTGTCAAGTCCCTGGGGCCCACCACCTGCCTACTAGAGGACAAGCTTCCAGAATCCACTCAGTTCTCTCCCCACATCGAACTGAAGCCATACATGTAGTCACCCTGGAGAAGGATGGTGGCAAAAATCACCCTCACCGGGATAGGTTCCTCTTCAGCTGCACCGTTCTCCACTGGCTCCATGGTCCCTGTCTCTTCCTGTTCAGTCTGCTTGTGTTTGGATTTCTTATCTTTGGACCTCTCCTCCTTCTCCTTCTTGTGTTTCTTCTTCTTATGCCTGGAGTATTTCTGCAAAAAAGAAGAGTTGGACTCAGTTCCCAAACTTCTCCAGTGAGTGATACCTGGCATTCCTTCTCTCCCCTCATGTCACATGGGAGGGGGTCATATGGACTAATGTGTCAAGTTAAGGGATTCAGGTGGGACAGCAAGATCAGACAAGGCCAGGCCTGCTTGAGGGCAAGGACCCAGGAACTCACAGCTCAATGGGGTGAACCAGCAAGAATGTCACAGGTAGGCTGGGGGTGTGACTCAAGTGGTAGAGTACCTGCCTAGTGAATACAAGAATACAAAGCCCCGTGTTCAAACCCCAATTCCAACAACAACAAAAGAATGCCATAGGCATGGAGTTCAACAACTCTGCTAGGCCTATACCCTAGAGAAAAGAAAACCCACATCCACACAGAAGCAAGTGCACATCCACAGCAGCACTATGCACAAGGACCAAAAGTGCGAACACCCTAAATATCCACAGATAGAGGGAATGGACACAGAGGAATGGTCCGTCCATATTGGAGCATCACTAAGCCATGAACAGAAGCGTGCTTTAATATACACTACAATGTGGAGGGATCTTGAAGACATCACGCTTGGTGAGAGAACCAGACACAATAGGCCCCACAGTAGGTGATTCCACTGATGGGAAATAGGCAAATCTAGAGATAGGAAGTAGACTTATGGATGCCAGGAGCTGGGAGGGAATGGGGTGACTGCTCATGGGGATGGAACTAGACAATGGTGATGGCTGCACAACTCTGCATTTAAAATGCTAAATTACATACTTTAAAAGGCTAAACCTTAAAGACTGTAAACTATATCTCAATTACTAAAATACAAAAAATACACCTGGTAACAACAGTTAAAAAAGACCCTTGAGATCTTGAGGGTGTGGCTGGGCTGCACTTGTCTGTGGGATTCAGGCACAGTCCTGAAGTATTCCTGCATGGGTGGGGACTGGCCCACATGGCCATAGATTGCAGGGTGATCTCACACCTACCCCAGATGGCCTGACCACCCACCCACAATACCTTACCCTCTCCTGGTCATGCTCCATGTTGTCTTCCTCATCCTCTGGCTCCTTCTTCTTGGGTCCATCATTCTCATCCTTCTGGGCAGTGACAGTGTGCACAGTGAGCTCTTCCTGCAGGGAGCCAGGAGGGTCGGGGGTTTGAAGGGATCCCAGGCTACTGGTGAGGGTGTTCCAGGAAAGGAGAAAGGGGCCTTTGGGTGGCCCCCTCCAATTGTCCCATCTAAGGGAGTAGGCACACCCTCCAAGTGACACAGAACCTGCAGACAGTGGCCCTAGATGAATGCTGGGTCCCACAGGTGGAGAGGTGCAAACCATGAAGGACCCCACGCACTAAGCTCCATCCGTTAATACTGTATCTGTGGCCCTAGCACCATAGGCCAGCAGGAGCAACGTCCCTCTACCCACTCCTGCAGGCAGTGCCAGGCAACGACTCTGAGGATGTGTAAGGGCCACCAGGTGCTTACCTTGGACAGCATAGGGATGGGGACAGCAGCAGATGGTGGGGTAGTGGACAGCCAGAAATCTAAGTCCTCACCCTGCAGCCACAGGAAGGCAACTTTCAGCAAAAGCAAAGAAGGGCCCCACAGGGGAGGGAGCTGGTCTCTTCTTGTCCCTCACTGTCCCACTGGGCCCACGACTAACTGCTCTGTAGCCTCTGAACCAAAAAGTGGTGACAATGTCCAGCCCTGACTACTGTGTTAACAGGACATCTACAGGTCCACATTTGGATGTGTGCCACTTACAATGGCCAAAATGCTGGCGACAGCTGACAGGCTAAGCAGCAGCCTAGTCAGACACCACATGACTGAAGGGCTCATTTGGATATGGACAGGTCGATGTGGAGTTAGGTTATGCATTTCTTTTAAAACCATTTATGAGGGGCTGGGATGTAGCTCGGTGGTACAGCGCTTGCCTAGCATTCGCGAGGCCCTGGGTTCGATCCCAGCACCAAAAAAGAAAAAAAGACAAAAACCATTTATGAGCTTTGGTGTAGCTCAGTGGTGAGTACTTGCCTAGTCCATGTAAAGGTCCTAGGTTCCACCCCCAGCACTAAAAAACAAAAGGCTGTGTACAGTGGTGCTGTCTGTAATCCTTGCACTCAGGAGGCTGAGAGACAGGAGGATCCTGAATTTGAGGCCACCCTGTGATATACAGCAAGTTCCAGGCCAGTCTGGGCTACAGAACATGACCCTGTTTTAAAACAAAAACAAAATCCCCCCTGGGGCACCAGTGACTCACACCTGTAATCCTAGCTTCTCAGAAGGCAGAGATCAGGAAACTTGAGGTTCAAGGCCAGCCTGGGCAAATAGTTCAGACCCTATCTCAAAAAACCCAATGCAAAAAAGGGCTGCCAGAGTGGCTCAAGTGACAGAGCACTTACCTAGCAAGTGTGAAGCCCTGAGTTCAAACCCCAGTACTGCCAGAAACAAAGCACAACACAACAAAAAACAACAACCATTTCTTTTCATGGAAAAATCTTTAGGTGAACAGCAAGGAAAGTGCCCTGGAGCTCCCTGTAGGGAGGGCTTCTTCACCTTGGGCAGGCCAACAGGCCCTTCCCCGGCCCTATGGCTGCCTTGGGCTGGGTAGGTTTTCAAAAACAGAGACTACTGAGGTTCTCTCTTTTTTTTCTTTTTTTGTGGTGCTGGGGAATCAAACCCAGGGCCTTGCACATTAACAAGGCAAGTGTTCTACCACTGAGCCATAATCCCAGCCCTCAGGGCCTAAACCTTGAGACACTCCACCAACCCTTTTTCGTGTTAGGTATTTTTAAGATAGGATCTTGCGAACTATTTGCCCAGGCTGGCTTCAAACTGCACTTCTGATCTTTGCCTCCGGAGTAGGTAGGATTACATGCATGAGCCACCAGCACCTTGTCACTAAGGCTCCCTTTTTCATCATTACTTCCTGCCCCGCTACCCCATCTGTGGGATCCTAGGATATGGTTGGGGCCTGTATTGGGTCTCCACTCTGTCTACAGCCTAACAGGGAGCTCCCTGTTAACTCCTTCAGTCCTCAGCTACCCAAAACCTCAGGACAGAAGGATGAGGTCTGTGTCCTGGGTACAGCGAACCTTCTTCTTGTCTTTTTTCTTCTCTTTCTCTCTCTCTTTCTCTTTGTGCTTCTTCTCTTTCTTCTTGGGTTTCTTGCTCTTCTTTTCTACCACAGGAACATCATCTTTCTCGGGGGACTTTGAGGTCTCCACATTTCTGTGTTTCTGGATGGGTAGCTTCTCACTGTCAGCTAAAGGCCTTGGGAGGGGAGGGGAGAACCAGAAGTCACTAGGCAGAACTGTGGCCTGCCCTCATGGTTGGCTGACTTTGTGCATTAAGGCGCCAGCCCCCTACGCATGGCCTAAGGTCTGTGTTAGGCTCTGAAGGGTCCCTGCCAGAGTCTCCTCCTTGATGTCTATGAAGGCCATGTGCTCCTCACCCCTGGTCTGGGGACTCCCCAGTACTATCGGAACAAAGGCCTCGGAGCCCTTGCTGAGGGTTCTGGCACGAAGGACACTGCCTACCCGTCATGCCTGAGCACAGCCCCAAGCCCAGCAAACAGACCGTCACCCTACCCTCACCAACCACTTACTTATCCAGGTCAATGTCCAGGGCTCTGTAGGGATCATTGGGGTCTTTGTCATCCTCATCACTGGGAAGAGCATTCTGAGGGAACAGAGGAACTCAGGGTCCAGTTAACTAGTAGAGTCTCCCATCCCTTTCTGACAAATGACACAACTACATGTGTAGTAAGGTCCACACCACATGGCCAGATGTCAAGGGCAAGCAGTGCTCTGGCTCAGCCAAGGAAAACATTTAGTATCATACACCAGGGCTGCCAGGCCACAGACAAGGGGAACACATGTCTATGTTCAGCCCATAAAATGGGGCTACTGGTCTTGTGGGGCAGGTGAACAGGAAGATGTCTGCTCACAGTGAATCAGCCCCCTACTTCCTGCTTTCTGTGGGCTGCAAGACAGGGCTGCCCCATGGCAGCTCCTTAGCCAAGGAAAATGGTGGTAGGGAGAGGCTCAAATGCACGTGCCAAGTCCACCAATGGGGATGCAAACAAGTCCATTTCCACCAGGACCTGCAGTCCTCAAAACATGACCCCTCCAAACCAGGTGGGTGGGGCTAACCTCAGGCATCTCCTCTGTTACGATGTCCACCTGCTGGGCAGGGGCTATGTCCTCATCACTCTCAGTGGGCAGCGAGCTGTGACGGCGGTGCTTGCCCTTCTTCTCCTTCTCCTTCTTCCTCCTCTTCTTCTTGTCCTTCTCCAGCCTCTGCCGGTGCCTGCGCTCCTCCTCTAGCTTCACATACTGATCCGACATGGGCATCCCTGTGAGGCAATACGAATCAGCCCTTCTGCAGAGGGAGCTGACCTCGTGGACAGTCCCAGAACCTGTAGGGGCTGAGCAGAGAGGACAAAGAGAAGGCCATGGCCCACATGACGCATGCCGCCTAAAGCTAACTGGTACTTGCCTGGAACTTTCAGAGGGACTGTGAGGTCGATCTGCACCACAGGAATATGCTCCACACCCGGTGTGTCTTGGTACCGCTGGAAAAGCAATTCCAGGGTGTTATGGTGCCCAAGGGGGCCGTGTGCACATGGGAGCTGAGCCTCAGGGATGTAGCTGTCATAAACATGAGCACAGCCCTCAAAGTCCTGGGTGTGAGAGTCCTGCCAGACACCTGGTGACCACATGGAGTCCAGGACCACAGCTCATCTCTATGCTGTGTGTTTAGTAGAAATGGAGAAACTATCATTTGAGTGAAATATCACGGGTCTGTTGTAAAGGGACAAGCAAAACTGTTTTCATCTCATTTTCTTTATTTCATTTTTTATTTATTTATTTATTTATTTATTTATGGATGGATGGATGGATGGATGGCAATACTGGAGTTTGAACTTGGGGCCTACACTTTGAGCCACTCCACCAGCCCTTTTTTATGATATGTTTTTTCAAGATAGGGTCTCATAAACTATTTGCGCGGGCTGGCTCTGAACTGCGATGCTCCTGATCTCTGCCTCCTAAGTAGCTAGGATTATAGGCAGGAGCCACCAGCGCCCAGCAAACAAACTGCCATTTTTTGGGGTTTTTTTGTGGGGGTTGAACTCAGAGCCTCACACTTGTTAGGCACTCGCTCTTACTGCTTCAGTCACTCCGCCAGCCCAGCCATTGTCTTTTAAATTGGAAAACAGGCTTAACCCCAGAGCAAGGCACCCTCACACCCCTCAGGGTGGCAAGACTCATCCTCATAGTTCACCATAGTTATATATGACCCCTGGCTCCATTCTGGGATCTGCCCATGAGGGCTGAAACCTGGGGGAGGTAAGAGGGAAGGCGCTGAACGGCCAGGGAACCTGCCTGTGTAAAGCCAGCACCAACTGAACAGCTAGGTGGACAATACTCCTGAAGGCAAAGGGTGCCTCTCCTAGATCAAGATCTAGAACATTCCATTGGTGGGGGAAGACCCTGTGAGCTCTCATCCCAGCTAGAGGAGCTGGCCCTGCACTGTCTTTCACACTGCACCTGAGTGTGGCACAGGGAGGCACACACCTTCTGGCTCCTCTCAGCAGTGTCTGAGGCCCTGTGGCCCCTCCACTGAGTGGAGCCTATGGCTCTCCCTCAGAGGGGCAGAGCTTCCAGGATGGCCAGTGTGCTGCCAGGGATGGGGAGGCTGTGTGGTACAGGTCCAAGGATATGCAGGAACATCTCACCTTCTGAGGGGATGGAGAACTCTTGATGTAGAAGGGATTGTTGGCTTGCTCCTGCTTCCGGGCCTCTCGACGCTGCAGGGATAGATCTGGACATGAATATGTAGGAAACACGACAGGACTCCCAGGTGCTAGGCCACCTCCAATAGTTTTATTGTTATGCTTTTACTAACAAGGAAACCAAGGTCCAGGTGGGGAAAAGTAGGTACTGAGGGAAAGAAGTTCAAGGGGTCAGGAGGTAGCGTCCACTTCCATCTTAAAAAGGGCTCAGAAGCTGGGCTCTGGTGGCTCACACATATAATCCTAGCTACTCAGGAGGCAGAGATCAGAATCATGGTTCAAAGTTAGCCCAAGCTACATGGGGTAGGAGATGGGGGGGCAGACAGTGGGATTTGGGCTCATCTTTGTACCACTTTTGGCTGTCTAGATGTCACTTTTGACTAAAATGACTCGCAGCAGCTATACTCAGGCTGAGCTAAGGGCATCTTCTGACTCCTGTGTTTGATGCTCCACCTGACCATTAAATGTCCATTCAGCTGTCCTGAATTACCCCTAATGTAACAGAGTTATCCTGTGGGGTTGGCTGTTGGGAGCCTGTATCCCACCACAGGGAACTGCCTTGGATGGCCAGGTGAGGGGGAGGAAAGCATGGCTACAGAGCAGTCGCACTCACCCGGGCCAGTTCCTCCTCATCCACCTCAGGCTGCCTGTGCCGGACTTGCTTCTGCTCCTCATCATGGAAAATGGCCTTGGGCTTCTCGTCCTCAGACTCACTGTCTGAGGGGGGCTCATTGATCCAGGCGTCCAGATCCAGACTGTACCAGACAGGGAGGTCACATGGTAGCCTGGCCTCACTATCATGACCACAGATGTCTGCTCTGAGTGGGGATGCTACTATCCCCTTAGAGAAGAGGACATGGAAATATGCGAAGGCTGGCAGCCAGTGAAGCCACAGCAGGGTCAGGTGCAGCCCAAGGACCCTGAAGTCTGGTGCTGTGGCTGTACTCTGGGGACCCACAGAAGTGCCCTCCCAGGTCTGGGGCACTAAGTGGGGGCAGGCCTTGTGAGGCTCCATGAGAACTAGCAAGTGCCTAAGAAAGGGCCAGCAGTCCATGGGGCTGTCCCAGATCCTTCCTGGCTGACGGCAGCCCACATCCCTCCCCCCACAACTCTCCTCCTGGCACTGGGGATGGCGGCAGCCAGCGGAAGCCACATATCTGTGCTCCTAGCTTCACATGTCCTCACCCTTCAGGGACTGGGACCTTCTTCTGGGCCTTGGGAGCCACTGGGTTCAACTCCCCGGCAAAGAGAGCGCTTACTTCCTCTGCCACAGGCACACCCTTGGCCTGCAGCTTCTGGACATGTTTGACCAACTGCAAGATGCAGGACGCCTGGGGGGACAAGTGATCATAGATGAGTACTCACTCTGAGGTCACCTGACCACCCTAGGGGACTCAGGCTCTAGGTCTCTGGAGCTGTGATGTCTGGATCACTCCCTGTGAGAGCCCACAGACCCAGCCATGTCCATGACTGTCTCTAATAGAGGAAAGTAGAGGGACAAGTCCACAGAGGTTGATAGGACAGAACTTAACTCCTTAAGTGCAAATGCCCATACTGGGTCTGCACCAAGACAGCAGAGCCACCTCTGGACCACTTAGCAAGCTCTCTGCCAACTCAGACTCAGTAGGAATAAAGCAGGACTTGGCAGCCCTGGCTCCCTTGGAGCACAGTGACCACATGTAGCTGAGTCTGCATAAACACCTTTGATATACCTCTAGACTTGGCCACACAACTGACCTCTTTCCTGGAGGCACCAGGGGACAGGTTCACTTAGCCCATGTCACCCACAGGAGAAGCCACAGCCACTGGGCCCTGACACCCAGGCAGCCACCCCTTATCCTTGCCCACCTGCTATATATAGTACATGACAGACTGGCTGGCCTGTGGCAGAAAGGAGGAACCCCCACTTCACCCTACAAACACTTTGGTCACAACCAACACTGCCTCTCAGGCCCATTGATCCCTGAATCCCAATGATGGACCCCAATCCCCATTTGGGGCATAGTTGGAACACAAGAATTTCACCAACTCACTTCGAATATCTAGATTATTTGAGTGACAACTCCCAAACTTAAGACAAATTCACATTTTTCAATGGGGCCTAATGATCTAAGTCTGTCCCAGCCAATGGTTATCACCTGTCCCTTGTGGCCAGTTTGCCAGTTCCTTGTGCGTTCCAAGAGAACTTAAGGTTCCCTATAAACTGGCTGCTACAGAGACCTGGAGGGTGGCCAAGGGCTCTTCCAAAGTGAGACACTGTGAACCCACAGCCAGCCTTACCCGCTCCTGCACCTCGAGGTCCGCGCTCTGCACAAACTGGGGCAGCCGCTCCACCATGAGCTGGGTGACCTCCTGAGCTGCCTCCGCCTCGGCTGCCTGTTCCTGCTGCTGCAGGATGGATGCATACAGCTTGACCACATTTTGCACGTACACAGCCTGGATGTGGCCAGGCAGTGTGGTGACTTTAGGCCGCAGCATGGCCTCGAGGGTTTGGTGGGGCTCCTGCAGGTGCCTAGGGGACAGGGATCACATGAGGCTCCTACCCACAGCTCCTTGAAAGGAATAGGGAAAGGGTGGCCCAGAGCTCCTCACCCAAGGGGCAACCTTGGGAAGCTCCCATCACCTAAGCAGACACTGGGGCTGAGGTAGGACTAGGGGACCAGAAACCATAAACGGCACGTAATAGGACATGGCTGAAGAAACCAGAGCAACATTGTGACACTCAATAGCAACCAAGAGGAAAAGAAGTACAAGAAAACCTGTGGACAAGGGAACCTGGGGAAAGACCTAGAGAACACATAAGGCAGAGGACATGTCTGGCCCAGCTGGCTGCCATCTGATTTGTTCTTTGATTAAACTTCTCCCCATAAGACATTAGCAGAAACACATATCTGAGGCTGAGGCTGGACCCTTCTGGGTTCCAGAAGTGTAGTCTGGACAGGGCAGACACTCAGTTGCCATGGGAACAGGGGAAGGGTGGTCAGGTGCAGCAGGGACAGGACAAAGGGATAGGGGCACAGCCCCTAGCTGCCCACTGGGCCTGGCCTGGGAAAGGGAGATGAGAAGCAAACCGTATCACCTCACAGGAGAAACCAGGAATCTAGGTTTTTGTGTGACGACAACTTCTGAGTTTAAGACATAACAACAAATCCACTTTTCAGTGACGTTCAATGATCCGTGCCTGCCCTAGCCAATGGCTATCATCTATCCTCTAGGGAAAGTTTGCCCAAGACTGTTGCATTCTAAAAGAAGTTAATGAACCCAAAGATGGCAGGGGTAGTACTGTCAGGATCACATGGCCCACATACCTGTGCCTACCTAGAACCTGGTCTGAGATTCTGGGCCCACAGTAGGGCCTGGCAGTAGGCAGGACGTTATCAAGCCACCTCCCAGCCCATCCCAATGCCAAGTGGAACCCCACTTTGAGGGGCCATCCTAGGGCTGAGTAGGGACAGGTCTCATTGTCATACGCTTTCAAGTGAGGCTGGGGTTCACGGAGGGGATGCAACTCACCCAGCTGCATAGAGTCAGCTCCATGAAGGGGGTGTGAAACAGATGGTCACTGGGGCAGGTGGTTGCCCAGGAAGCAAGAGTGCTTCAGACCATGGGGTGGGTCTGCCGGCACGTCCCTGCGTCCCCCTCTCAACCCTGGCATGCCAGGCTGCTACCATAGGGCTCCATGCCACTCACTCCGAGAACTCCCCACAGATCCAGGCAGCTGCATAGAGCACCTCGCAGATCCCGTTCCGCTGTGTGCTGCTAGTTACCAGGTGGGCACTGTCAAGTAGTGCAGACATCTGGGACACAGCAAACCTGCGAATGGCCTTCACTCGGATGGCCACATCTAGCATCTGGGCAGCAATAAGGTGGCCGTGACGGGTGCCCTCCAACCGCGTCAACTCCACTAGGATGCTAATATACCTGTGGGTGGGAAGCCCGTGAGAGGTGCAAACATGCACAGTGATGCAGGCCCAGACCACCCTTGGCAAAGTCTAGTGAGGGACGGACCACTCAAAGTTGGTGATGTACTGGTAGTTGGACTGGCTACAGATGTCGATGATCTTGGTGAGCAGCTCATCACGGTAGGTGGTGCCCTCAGCCTTGTCTACATGTGTCATGAGCTTCTTCACGATCTCCATCAAGTTCTTCTTGGATACCTATGGTGGCACCAGCATCAAGCACTGTTAATCAAGTCCATGTAGAGAGGAGACATTCCCACCAGGGTGGAAGCCACAGGAGGAACCTCACCTGCGTGCAGATGTGCCTTTAAGACCCTGCCCTCTATCCTGGGTCCACAGGCCCTTGGTAACCAGCTGGCCAGAGGCAAGCACCCCCTAACCCTGCCCAGGAGGGGCTCGCAAGATCCACACACTCCACAAGGCTCCAGCACCAAGACCTCACACTTGGCCCCTACTGAGTAAAGCCAGCACACACACCATGCCATAAAGCAGATCGAGGGCTCGCAGCCGAATGGACTCGTCCTTGTCGTCCAAGCACTGTAGGATGAGGTCCTTGTGTGACTGTACAGACTTGGGGTGGGTCTTCAGGATCTTGGACATGGCCAGGAGCCCCAGATACTTCACTGTGGGAAGACCGAGGAGCCATCAGCCTGAGAGAGTGAAGGGTGCTGGTGCGTGGGCATGCCACACAGTGTGATTTGGGGTCACCACTCTAGCTACTGCCTGGCTCTGAAAGCCTGGGTGCAGATGGGAGGGGTCTCTTGGCTGGTGCTCACTGAAGATGATGGATACCTCTTTAAGGCTCCACCCTAGGAGCCAGGGTAAAGGATGAACACCCCAACCTCTGGAGGGCACAATCCATGTATGGATTCTGGAAGGTGTAGAGGGAAAAGCAGGTCTCTGGGCAGGACAGGGAAAGAACCTCCCATAATGATGTCTGTGATGACGCCTCCTAAAACCCCCATGTCCCACCCTTCTTTTAATCACTGTTTCCCCAACTGTGAGATGCCTGCTAACTCTTCCCACCTGGCAAGCACAGGTAAACAAATATGTGCCCCTTGAGAAGCCCACAGCTCAGTGTGGGGTCTCATGTCTCTGGCCCATGGAGAAGAGAGGGCCGCAGAGCCAGAGGCACTGGGGCAAACAGCATCTAAACCAAGAGCTCGTAAATAATGGCTCTGAGCCAGTGGCCTGAAGCCTGGTTCTGTGATGAGGTTTCACCTCACAGGGCCTTGTGGATTGACTGTGGATCAGCGACGTGGGCTGTGGAGCCCGTGATCCCCGAAACAGGAAACATGCTTTCTCTAGGCCATTATGGGAAAAGTTTGCCAACTCTGACTCCAAGCAGAAAGAAAATGACTCTTGCCAGACAGATGCCACCAAGCTAGAATTCTCAACAGAACAGCCCCCAAAGAGAAGGCACAAAGATATAGCATCTGTTTCCCTAAAAACCACCAGAGATGCACGTACTAGTCATCTGATTGAAACGAGACCCTTGGCAGTAGCCTTGGCGTAGCTCTACCCACCTGCCAGCATCTTTCTCTAAACTTTTATCGCCACCCCCATGTCTCCTTGAACCAGGCCCCCTTGCTCCATGGGTGACAGCCTGTGGCTCAGCCCATGAAGCCACCTGAAAACCTTGCGGCTGGGACATAGTAAGGGCAGCCCACCATGTGCAAAAGAGATGGGAGGGGTGTAGAATTTGTTCCTGAAGCTAGCATTGGTCTGTTTGCATGAAGTCTGTGCAGAGGACACCCGGCATCCACAACACTACTGTCCCCTTTCTTCTGATGCTCCAGAGCTCAAACTCCACAAAGGTGTGTGAGAGGGAAACAGAGGCAAGAGCACAGAGAGCCGGAAGTTGACTTACAGTTCTGATCGGAGTCTTCTATCAGTATCCTCAGCTTCTGAACACAGAGCTGAGAAGAGGAAAATCACCTGGTCACAGCTTCCAAAAGCAGGGGTAAACTTGGCTGACATTGGGTCTGTCCCCACCCTGCCCTGGGGCCCAGGAGCAGCCCTATCCAGGGAAGGATAGCACTGGGGCCATGTGTCTGAGGACAGAGAGGTGGGCAACTGGGGACCTCACAAAAGGGACCAGGATGTGCCAGTGAGGACAGGCCAGAGCAGAACTGTGTGGCCTGGAAGCACAGAGTCTACACAAGCCTTCGTTACATGCAGGCTGTGCTCAGGACTCTGAATGGGGCAGGTGGAGATGCACTGGCTTAGCAGTGCATCTGGGGAGAGCTGGGACTCAGGGACTTCCTTTACACAACAGCTGTACAGTTAAATTTGGACATAACCTACAGCCTCTAGGTTGAATAGAGAGCCCCTGCAGCCAGCGCTCCACAGTGGAGGAGGTACTACATAAGGGCCATAGGCAACAGGATCAGCAACAGGGGCAAGCTGATCAGGACCCATGTGGTGTATTTGCTCCTCAGTGCCTCTGTATTCCCCACACATGCAGAAAAGCTGAGCTAGGCCCAGGCACAAGCCCCGTACAGGACAGCATATGAAGGTGGGGGTGGGGGACAAAGAGTAGGGTTAGAGATGCCCACAGGCATGGTGGGCCTGGAGGAAGGAGAAGGCCCAGACAGCGCACCTGACCTGGCTCAAGGAGAAGCATAGCTGACCCCACCTGGAAGTCCCACAGGACTGCCCACCCTACCACCTGCTCCATGCAGGTCATGGTTGTTCCCCAGGACGCACCTGGATGCTGGCGCTGTGGTTAGGCATGCCGGAGGACAGCGAGATGAGCACTAGAACAGATGGCCCCAGGTCAGCCACCAGAGCTAGACTGCCATCGTGACACGTACACACACTGGCATCTGCCCCAATCAGACTGGGGAGGGCTTGGCCCGACTGGTGTCTGAGCAACACAGAACCATCTCACAGGTTCAGAAAGCGGCTGCCAGGATGGTCCTGGGATGGCTAGGGACCTGGCCTAGGAACCCTCTCCTGGCAGGAGGTGTTCCTGGGTCGGGTCTAAACTGCTGGTACAAACAATACAGTTATGCTCAGCCCCCATCCTTCTCTGGAATCTAGGATCTTGGCCAAGCAGAGGGATCCACGTGCCTCCCACCACCATCAAACCTCAGATACTAGGTTTCTGTGAACTCCTTAACACTCCCTGCATTAGGTGGTTGCTGGTAACGAAGTGTGTCCTGCATGACTCCCAGGGAGAAGATTCTGAAAGCCCTGCCTAGCCTCCCCAGTTCTCCCCCAACCCCTGGTCCTATGTTCCTTTTTACGAAGGCTGGCTCTGCTATATCCTGTTGCTGTAAACCACAGCCACAAAGACAGCTGTATGTTGAGTCCTGGGGTTCTCTCAGGAGATTCCTGTGGCTGGGCTGGTCTTGGGACCCCACCTTGATGTCTGCCTCCTACTGCCCTCAGCCTAGTCCCAGGGAGTGAGAAAGCCCAAATTCAATCACTCAGGCCAAAGGCTGAGAGGACTGATCACAGCCCAAAGTGTGTCAAGGCCAAACATTTAAGTATGTAGGGGCAAAATGACACAAGGTCTCAGAATATGCTTTACTTAGAAAAACTAATTCTGTAGGAGGGGACTGAAGGAGGCCTAGAGCAGTGGTGTGCTGACCACTGGCAAAGAAGGGTGTTGGGTAGCTGGGCTCTGTCCCCAGGTGGATGGTAAACCTCTCACATTTGCAAAGGGACCCTAGGATGGTGCGGGACAACAGGTGTGTCAGAGACATGCACCCAGCCTAACAGCACCTGAGGGTCCTCCTGCTAATACAGCTGCTCTCCCAGCAGGGGCTGCAGTCTGTGGAGCCTCACCTGCAATCACGGTGTTCACACACTCGTAGAGAAGGGACATGGCAGACGTGCTAGAGAGGAAGGGAAGCAGTGTGAGGACCCAGACTCAGCTCAGCAGTCATGTCAGACACAACAAGGATGCTGTGCGGGAGGCTCCAGGGAGATAGCACTATTGCTACCCCTCAAAAGCCCAGTCACATAGCAATGGTCACTACAGCTAGCCTTCTGGAGGAGAGAACATGAGAGATCCTCCAGACTGCTGTGATTCCTCCCCACCTCATGGCCTAGCTCACAGGGCTGGGATCCCAGCCTCTCCCAAAGTCCTGCTGACAGGCTCCTGACTAATGTCTTCCATCCCATCAACACCGCCTGCCCAGCCTTGCTCTCTCACTATCTGTCTGAGGGCCAAGGCATGCCATTTTAATAACCAAAGACGGATGTATTGAATGGCTCCTGGACCCTGTTCCCCAACCTTTCCACTTTGCAGTGCTCAAAAGAAGCCCTCAACTTTCTCAACATCTCTAGCAGCCCAGAACCCCACAACCCTATCAGAGAGAGCAGGAGGCCTGCTGGACATGGCCAGTACAGAAGGCATGGAGTACTGGCTCCAAAGCCACCAACAGGGAGTTGAGGTGAGCACAGTAGCTCTGCCTTTGGTCAATGACCAGGACGGACCCCAGGAAGGGCTGGTGAGGAATGGTTTGGCAGTGAAGTCTGCCTCACTCTGATAATTCTTATGGGGTGAGAATCTACTAAATCCCAATAGAAGAAGGGGAGGGTCTACCAGCAATGACTCAGTGCCGTGGCCTCAGAATCCCAGGGTTGCCTGACAATACTCTCTGGGACTGCAGCCATTCAACAAACTCAACAACTGTTCAAAACCAGACACACCTGACACAGCTTCCTCCAACTCTTTTACTAAATGCCCAATGACTATGACAGTTGCCAGTTGTCCCCTGTCTGCTGTTCTTCCAGAAGGTGAATTTAAGGGGAATTTAAGAGAATTTAAGAGTGGCCCCGGGGTGCCACTCAAGTTAATGAGGCTTGCCTTCTCCTTCAATGAGTCTGGCTAAGCAACATGGCAAGATTCCCAAGGATGAAATGGAATGGAGACTGAAGAGCCACCTGCCCAGAGGCAGCTGGGCAGGGGCCAAGGAGTGGCCTACCTGTGGATCAGGTTGGTGAGAGGCTCAATCAGCTTCTTGCCTAGCCTTGGCTCCAGAGGGGTCAGGGCACCAAACTGTGGGGACAAGAAAGTAAGGGCTTGGGGGGTGGCTCAAGTAGTATAGCACCTTCCTAGCAAGCGTGTGGTGAGGCCCTGAGTTCAAACAATAGCACCGCAAAAAAAAAAAAGAGGGGCCGTGGTCGTTGCTAGCTGCAGGAACAGCATGGGTAGGACTGCAGAAACAAGCCCCAAGCACACAGGCCATCCCAGAACAGCACTTGCCAGTTTGATGATCTTGATGAGGACCCAGTTGTTGGTGGAGGACGTCATCAGTTTAAAGAAGAGCGGGGCCAGGGACAGGTAGTTCTTGGGGTTGCGTCTGGCCAATTCACAGATAACGTTGACAGCTGCTGACTGGACCCCTAAGGATCAAACGGGGGCATCCAGGGCTAGAGGTGTGACTCAAGTGGTAGGGCACCTGCTTTGTAAACATTAAACTCTAAGTTCAAACACCTGTCCCACAAAAAAAGTGGGGAGAAGAGGGCATCTACATCAATGGGACAGGTGTCCACACCAACAAGGGGCAGGGCATCTTCCCTAACTATAGGACATCTTCATTAACAGGGGGCATCCTGTGGGCAGGACTGGCAGAGACCTGAGGACACATTGGTGGTTGTCACCATGCATATAGCCATAAGCTACAGTGAGGTAAGTATAGGTTGTGGCATACAACACCCAGGTCTTGGTTTCCAAATATCATTCACCAACAAAGAAACCAGGGCTGCTAGAAGAAACAATGAATTGTGGGGAAAGTAAGGCAAACCTGGCACTTCACAGTGCCTGACAGTAAGGTGGTGCTCAAAAATAAGGGGAAGTATTAGATGGGCCTAGGAACCCACACAATGGGTGCATGGCAATGGATGCACAGTGATGATTAGGCCCCACAGAATGAAACAGGTATGTACAAGTCCCTGAATACAAACAAATGAGAATAAACAAGGAAAGGTGAAGGGAGCTGCTCCTTTATTGGTCCTGGTTTGGGATGGAGGCTGGACCCAAGTGGTAGTGTGCTTGCCTAGCAAGTGTTAGACTCTGAGTTAAACCCCCAGTATTACCAAAATCAACAACAAAAAAAGAACAGGAGACAGGAGCAGGTCACAGAAATACACCACTGGTACACCCAGAGTCCCAGTTAGATCACAGGAGAATCTTCAGACACTAAAGTAACAAGAAAAGCAAACTTATAGTCTTAAAGTGTCACCTACAAGATACAGTTGTCCCTCAGCATCCATGAAAGACTAGTTCCAAGATGCCCATGGATAACAAAATCCACAGATGCACAACTCCCTCATATCTAGTATTTGCATAGAAGCTAAGCACACTGTCTGGTAGACTTTTTTTTTTTTGGCAGTAGGTTATTTTTGAGATACTGTCTCACTTTATGTCAGAGCTGGCATGGACCTCCTATTTGTACTTCTTGGCATAGCTGGGACAACAGATATGTGCCATCATGTCCAAATGACTTTATTTATTTATTTATTTATTTTTGAGATCAGGTCTCACTGTGTAACCCAGGGTGGTCTGGAACTCACCATTCTTCTGCCTCAGCCACCTGAGCACTGGGATTACAAGCATAAGCCACCACACCTGGCTCTCCAATACATTCCAAATCACTTCTAGATGATGTATAATACATAATACAATATACATAGTAGGTAAGTAGCTATTATATTGCACTGTAGAGAGAATAATGACAGGAAAAAAGCCTGCATATGTTTAGGACAAACAACAAACATAATTTCTATTTTTTTCCTTCCTTTTGGGTTTTTGAGACATGGTCTGGTTATATAGTCCAGACTGGCCTGGAACTCACACTTCCTGCCTCAGCCTCTTGGGTACTGAGATCACAGGTGTGTACCAGCATGGCGGGTTCAGAATTTTTTTTCAATTATTTTTTGATTCAAGGTTATTTGAGTCTGTAGATCAGATATGGAACTCAAGAAAATATGGAACCCAAGAAAATGGAGGGCTGTCTGTACTCATAAGTTATGAGAAGATGAGCAAGTTGACAGTGGAGAACCCTGACAGGTACCACTTGAACCAAGTGGCCAAGGTTAATGTTATCAGCATAAGATACAAAGATACCAGTGATCCCCTGATGCGGCCCCAAAGATCATCTGCAGAATTTCTGCCAGAAGTTCAACTGAATCATAAGAACAGGACACACCCAACGAAGCACAGTCCACAAAAACTCTTTAGGAGTCAGATTCTAGAAGACAAAGACTAAGGAACTCAGATCAAAAAGGTTTAAGTGCTCAGCAAGGAAACACCCCGAGGCCAGCACAAGGAGGGCAGGAAACAGCAGTGTGATGTGGTGTGATAAAGAATGAACCATTTGGCCTTTCAGTCCTGGCTGCCAGGAGCTTCTAAAACTGCTGGGGCTAGGGCCTGAAGCCTCTAGCACTCCAAGGAAGCCACAGGTTGGGAAGAAGGTTCAACCACTTGGCCAATGAATAGCCACTCATCATACCTGTCCTGTCCAGGGAAGACTTGGAAGAGTTCTGCACCCCAAGGCACAGGGGCTTCCTGGCTGCTGAACAGACCTGTCAGGGTGGTGAAGGTCCCAGCTCCAATGAGAGCTCTGCATTCAGGCCCATCTAGCCCTCGAGTCCCTCTGACTGCTCCTGAGCTGCACCTTCCCAATAAACCCTCAGCTCAGGTAGAATGCTTCTGAGTTTTAGACGCTGTTCTCATAAATGAGACAGCCTAATGGGGTTGTCAGAATCCCACCAGTTTCCAGCCAAAAAATCTAAGGTGGGCTGGTGTAGGATGGGGGCACTTGGGCCTGGGTCCTTTTGCTATGAGCATATGTGCAAACTCTAGGAATACTTCGTTGCCTTTTTTTTTTTTTTTTTTTGTGGTGCTGGGATTTCAACTCAGAGCTATGTGCTTGCTAGGCAGGCCCTCTCTACTATTTAAGTCTTTTTGCTTTAGCTACTTTTTTAATAGGGCCTTATATTTATGTCTGGGGGATGTCAGGCATGTGCCACTGCTTCTATCTTTTCACTGGTTGAGATGGGGTTTAGCTTTTTACCTGGATTGGCCTTGAACCATGATACTCCCCATCTCTATCTTCTGAACAGCTAGGATTATAGGCATGAGCCATTGTGCATGCCCGGCTAGCATTAGCCTTTTTAAAAATGGCTAATTAGAACCGGGCACTAGTGGCTTATGCCTGTAATTCTAGCAACCAGGAAGCAGAAATCAGGAGCATCATGGTTTGAAGCCAGCCCTGGGCAAATAGTTTGGGAGACCCTATCTTGAAAAAAACCCAACACAAAAAAGGGCTGGTTGAGTGGCTCAGGGTGTGACCCTGAGTTCAAACCCCAATACCACAAAAAAAAAAAAAAAAAAAAAGCTAGTTAGGTTTTCTACAGAAAAATTAGATTTAACATTGCTTATATTGCCTACATTTTCAGTGGATGATCCAGTTATTTCAAATAGGCCATGCAGAGATAATAAAAATTAACTATTTTTCAGATGCTTCCATCAATTACCAGGGAAGGGGTAGAGTTATGTGGCTAAAGTGATGGCAAGCACAAGGCCCTGAGGTCAAGCCCCCCATAAGTCAATACAAACATGGAAGGAAGGAAGGAAGGGAGGGAGGATAGACAGATATAGAAGAAAGAGGGGGCCATGCAGGGAGTGGATTCAGGAGTGGACTTAGCATATTCCCAGTGCGATTATACGGTTAAATGGCAGTACTGCTTATTAGCCTTTTTTCCTTTTGAAGTTTTCATGGCTTATGTTTATTTACTGCTCCAGACCTATTGAGAGTACTTGCTTGTGACAGTCTCAAACATCTAAATAAAAAACAAAAGTGTCTGGTAAAATAAAAGTATTTCTCTTTTGGTGATTTGAGGGGCAACATGAAGTTAGGTGTCAAACCACCATGCCAGCCTGGTTTTGTGAGAAGAGCACGTCACTAAGTTTATCAGGACATTCTATTTTCACAGGCTCCCAAGAAGGCACTGGATACTTTTAAACACACATCCAGTAGGGTGGATAACATACACAGCAAAATTCCTACGCTGTCTCTAATTAACCTGAAGGAAACTGGTATGTGCGGAGGCTTTAGCCAGATAACAAAGAGTAGAGCCATCTATTCCAACTGGTACTGCTTAAAGTCAAAGTCAGTTTTTCACTCCTGCTCTTCACCTAGAAGGGAACTGCATGTGTCCTCAAAGCCAGAAGTACTGCACCAGCGCTTTAACCTGGAGTCTTGCATTAGGGCTGGGACTCCCTATACTCAGAAGGGCTGGAGGTGGAGAGTAAGGGGGTCCTTTCAGAGGACTCAGTGTACAGTTGCTTGGCTCTGTGTTTCTGTACCACAGTAAGACACAGCATCATTGTCACACGAGCGTGTGGCAGAGAAAGATGTTCACCTCATGGTGGTCAGGAAGCAGTGACAAGGGAAGAATTCTCTATAATAGTTTTTCAATAATTCTGCAAATCTGACATTTTAAAATGAATGTTAGAACTTTTTTTGGGGGGGTGGGGGGGAGTAGTATTGAGCTTTTAACTCTGGTCTTCCCATTTGCTAGGCAGGAGCTCTATCCCTTGAGCCATGTCCCTCAGTCCTTTTTTGCTTTAGTTATTTTTCAGACAGGGTCTTGAGTTTATGCCTGGAAGGGTCTCAAACCTATATACTCCTACTACAGTTCCTGTGTGACTGCTATTACAGATACATACCACCGTGCCTGGATTGTTGGCTGAGATAGGACCTCACTGGCTTTTTTCTGATCCTCTGATCTCTGCCTCCTGAGTAGATGTGATAACAGGTGTGAGCCACTGCATCTAGCCATTTTTTTGATTTCTAGTGGTCTTGAAGTTTTAAACTTAAGAGCCTCAAACTTGCTAGGCATGTACTCTACCACTTGAGCCACACCCTGGCCCTGAAAAGTAGACCTTTTTAAAAACTTAATTACTTAAAAAAAAAAAATAGGCTGGCACACTGGCTTAAGCGTTAAGAGTGCCTGCCTAGAAAGAATGAAGCTGAGTTCAAACTCCAGTGCTTTAAAAAAAAAGAAAAACCTGAAGGGAAAACACAACGCAGGGAAGCCAGATTCTCACAAGTGGAAGGAGGGCCTCCCAAAGGTATCACATGCAGCTCTCTGGGAAAGGGGACAGGATTTGGATTTGGTTGCTGGTGGTGTAAGCACAAACAAATTCTTCAGGATGCATTTGGAAATGCATCTTTTAGGTCCATGCACTTTGAAACCTTTCCCACTATGAAAACCACTGTACAGTCTTTGTGACCAAAGAGGAAGTTCTAGGGGCATGGCAGCTTCCATCAAGCTGGAGGGCCCTGGAGCTTGGCACTGACTCTGCCCTCTGCTGTAATGACAGGGGCATAAGTGCACAGGTACTCCGAGAAAAGAGCAGGACTGGTGCCACCTTACTTGTACAGTGCTGTTTTAGCTTGTGGTACTGGGGATGGACTCAGGGCCTGACAAATGCCAGGCAAGTGCTCCCCACTGATCTGCACACCAGCTCACTGTGCAGAGCAATGGCACACAATGCAGACAGCCCACTGTGGTCTCTGGCCTCATCTACTCCTCTGGAGGCAGGAAAGAAATGAAGACTCCACAGGCTGCCAGCCATCAACCAGGGAAAAGGGGGTGAGTAGGCATAAGGCTGAGCCTCCTTCTCTAACTGTGCCCAGTACTCTGGGGAGAAGTTCACTTGACCTGCATCATCGCTTGGGGCTGGGTGTTCTCTCCTAACCCAGGACCTAGGGAGTTTGGCCGGCCAGTGTGCCTTGTACAGGCCTATGCCAGTCTGTGCCCAGTGCTATAACATATAGCTCAGGCATAGACACCGTTTAAACAAAAGCTAATTTCTATGGTGGCTTCTTGTCATCTCAGGCTGCCTTAGAAACCATTCTGAAGGCAGGCTTAGCTTTCTCAAGCCAGCAGGGCTAAGTCAACCTGAGTCCATTTCTAGCTCTTACATCTTCCCAGTTCCTGGTCCATCCAGACCTCTTCCTTATACACCACTTCCTGATAACACTTCCCTTTTTTGTGCGATAGCTGGCTGCAGGCTGTCTGGCTCCCACTAACCTCCCCCATGTGGACTGTACAGATGTGCCAGTGTCCCTCTGTATCAGGGTGCCCATAACTTACTTTAACCCACCAGCCCCCGCCTTGGACACCTGTGTGGGCAATGCCTTGGACCAGGCAAGGCCGTGCTTTCCTCCACACACTCCCTGACTGCTGTGTGGGACCTCCAGGAGTACTATGAACCCAAAATCTGTGAGTGATACAAGGGATACTTCTGTGATTCTCCTAATCACTGGAAGGGTGCTACCCACCCTAACATCCTAAATTACAACTGCAATGAAATAAAATGTTAAAATGGCACCCTTCTGGGCTGGTGGGATGCCACAAGCGGTAAAGCATACCTGTCAAACACTGAGTTCAAACCCTAGTACCACAAAAAAAGAAAAAAAGTGCCCTCAGGTGCCACACTGCAAATGCTCTCAAGGATTCCATATGGAATTCAAGATCCACACTGTCCCTGTATTGCACCACCACATGGCTGGGGTGGGAAGATGCTGAGGTACTGCTGTTCTTGCCATGAGTTGGCTATGCTGGACCATCCTGCCCATCCAGGCCAAGGAGCAGCCTGATGCTGCCCACAGGTTATGCAGAGCCTCATCTCATTCCATTTACTACAGCTGATGGCTGTTACAGGTGCAGACAGCCCATCACCAGCATTCCATAGGGACTTCATGTGGGCCTCCAGATCCAGTGTCCCACCCCTCCCTGACAACACCCCTTGCATTGTCCCTACAGTGGCTGGCTAAGCCCCTCCCCCCCTTCTAGTCTCTATCCACCAACCGGGGTCAGGGTCCTCCAACTTCTCCTTCAGCCGGGGGAAAGCGGGACGTAGCGACTCAGGGTACTTAAGGAAGACCTTATACATGATGAGCACAGCCTTCTTCCTGATGTATGGCTTCGTGTGTGACATCTGCAGAGAGAACGGAATGTCAGCACAGGTATGCACAGCTCTCCATGATGCTCAACTCAAACCTTACCCTTACCCTCGACCTCTTCACACCTGCCCTGGGTTCACCTCCTCATGCCTGACCTTGGTTCACCTTCTCACATCAGCCCTGGTTCACCTCCTCTACTTGGATGAAACCTTGCCCCCAGCAACTCCCACTCCTGGTCCTGGCCACAGCTACGTAGTCTTCTGCATTGCCCACTAGCCCCAGGATCACAGACCAGCATTCTGGGCTGATTGAACCCTGCCTGCCTTTGTCACGGCCAGTCTCCAAGGGCCAAGACCCTTTCTCTCTTGCCTTCCTGCCTCAGTAGTGCTGGGGACCCCAGAGAGAGGGATAGAGGCCCCAGTGAAAAATCATGCAGGGAATGCTGGTCTGGCTGGAGCACAGCCAGTAGCCATGTGTGGCCCAGAGCGCTTCAGGCTGTCTAGCCTGTCCCTCAAGTAGAACATGGCATGTTCAAGGCCCCCTCACTTGGACCTCCACCAGGACAGTCTTTGCAGGGCCCATCCGCAGTGGGTGCTCCCTCACCTGTCAGGCCCCAGGGAGCTTCCCCCTCCCACTGCTCTGCCCTGACAGAGTTGCCCACCCACTGTGGCCAGGGCTGACTTTCACTGCAGGCCATCTATACCCCTTCTAGAGTAGTTGTGTGCTCCCAACTACTCTAGTGTAGAGGGGTCAATGTGTATCTGGAAAGGCCCGATGGATGATGTTTCTAGCACTGCAGGCCCAAAGGTCCCTGTCATGATCATGAGGCTCTGCTCTTGAATATCTCAAGTGGCCACCAACAAGTAGAAGAATGGGTGTGGCCAGCAGCCAAGGGGCCATGATTTACAACAGATGCCAGCTACATCAATCCTGGGGCTAGCATATGTTGGGCCACTAGTGCCCGTGAACTTCAAGACCACTGGCCAAGATCCAAATACCCCTGTAGTTAAGAGGCTGAGCATACACGGACAGGTTCGCAATGAAGAAATGCAGCACCTTCCCACAATGTTAATGTGAAAAAGAAAAAAATGCAGGTCCCAGATGACCTGAGCACAAAGCGGACATCAAGGAAGGTGCCCCTGCTGAGAAGACCTGACATTTAGAACATCACTTGGGACACCTCTGAGATGAGGGCCAGCTTGGAGCACTTGTCTTCAAGATGGACTTAGCAGTCATGAGAAGACAAACCATGGTATGAGAGATAGAGGAAAGATGGGGCCACACTGAAGTTGGCTGGCTGCTAAGAACTAATACCACTATCTACATCATAAAAAGAAAACAAGTGTCCCCAGCCAGGCTAGATCCACCTGGAATGCCACCCCTTCCTCCTGCCAGCAGGACAAAGGTGAACTCAGAAATGCATGAACAAAGTGGTCTGAGGGCAGGACCCCCAGGAGTGACAGGAACTAGGTTCCCGTCTCACCCAGGCCACGCACCAGCAGCCTCGCTCGCCTGTTTCCGCCAGTCACGCTTCCTCGGTGTGACGCCTTAACCCAGGTTCCTGGTGCCCGTCCACGGAGCAAAGGTGAAGGGGTGGTGGGCCCGCTGGCAAACTCACCAGTGTCATGATGTCATTTGCCAGGTCTCTGGCGAGATCTGGGGTGACAAAACAGGACAGACCAGTCAGTGCAACGCCAGTGTCGTACTGGCTGGGGCTGCTCAGGTCCTGCAAGAGGAGAGGAAAAGGGTTAGTAGCAATGCCCTAGGGTTGTGTCTCCACTATGCAATAGGCAGCAGCTCCCTGCTGCTGCAATTCACAACACTTCCATGCTGTCACTAAGAGGTCAGGTGGAGTAGAGATCTAAAAGCTCCACATGAAAGCCACCAAGTCTCTGGGCTTCTCAGGCACAGAGACTCAAGAGTTCTGAGTAAGGGCTACTCGGCTCCTAAAACAGCCCCATGTCCCAGGAAGTAATCAGGGCTGCACTATGATCAGCCCTACTAATGGTAAAAGGCAAGCAGGAGACCTACAGGACAGGAACTGGGGACTCTGCTTCCACCCAGGGCCTCTTTCCCCTCCAATAACCAGGAACAAGTCCTTTGCATCCCTCTCAGAGCCCCCAGAAGCTTTGTCTGAGGCTAAATTCATCTTTCAAGTGAACAGGAAAAATGAGCTTGATCCCCAGCTGTTACTAATACCAGGCCCATGAGCTCTTCTCCATTGAAGACACTCCCTGTGGGTACCACATGCTGTGTGATCCTAGATGGACTTTCTGAAGAAACTATATTCTGTAAATGTGCCAGGATGTATTGAGAGAATCCATGATAAGAAACACAAAAGTGAAGGCCTTAGGGATCCTGCACCCATGGGCTAAGGAACAGCATCAGAAGCCATGTACACCCTTCAACCCCTGAATAGTACAACTCATACTGCAGCATCATATAACCAAAGAGCCACAGAAGAGCAGCAGAGACAAGAGGGTGCTGTCACAAACCTTCAAGAAAGCAAGGCCAGAGCTAGTGGAGTAAAGCACCTGAATAGCAAGCATGAGGCCCTGAAAAAGAAAAAAAAAAAATTCCAGTCCCACAGAAAAAGAAAAAAAAAAATCCTTGCTGGGTGCACATGGCTCATATCTGTAATCCTAGCTACTTGAGATCAGGAGGATCACAGTTTAAAGCCAACCCTGGGCAAATCCCAAGACAGTATGTCAAAAATACTTAACACAAAAAAGGGCTGGCAGAGTGGCTCAGGTGGTAGACCACTTGCTTAGCAAGCATGAAGCCTTGAGTTCAAATTCCAGTACTGTCAAAAAAGAAAAGGTGGCTCACACCTGTAATTCTAGCTACTCAGGAGTCAGAGATCAGGAGAACTGCAGTTCAAAGCCAGCCCAGGCAAATAATTCGTGAGACCCTATCTCAAAAAACCCTATCACAAAAAATTGGGCTAGTGGAGTGGATCAAAGTGAAGGCCCTGAGTTCAAACCCTAGTACCACATGAAAAAAAAAAAAAAGAAAAAGAAAAAGGAAAAAGTCCCAGGTTTGTTTAAGTTGGCACAGGGGCCAGTCATGGTGGTGCATGCCTACAATCCCAGCACTCAGAAGGTAGAGAGACAGAATGAATGGGAATTTGAGGCCAACGTGGGCTATAGAGTGAGTTATGTAGTGTGTTACAATTGCAAGACCTCATTGCAAAACTCTAAAAAATCTAAATTGCAAAAATCTAAAAATCTAAACTGCAAAAATCTAAAAAATGAAATAAATAAAACAGAGGAACTACAAATATGTGGTTTGCATGCTTGTGGTGACAGTCCAAGTTGTATAGACACCACCCCTGACTGTAGCAAGACAGCAACAGGCAAAGGTATGATGGTGAATCTCTACATCTTTTTATGATGGAGCTGACACCGTGTGTTCTGTGAGAAAGGAAGGCTGGAGAGGTCCAGAGTACTTAAGACCTAACTAACAGCCTCGGCACACATCCTGGTCAGGATGATGGCCTGGGTCTACAATGAAGTGCACACAGATAGGGAGGAAAGGACATGCTGGGTATGCCCAGGGCAGGGAGGCAAGTAGGAGTGGCTGCCCGAAGCCCTACACCTCTTTTTTCCTGCTGTCCCTCCCCTTCCCAACTAGCAAATCACTCCCTCCTCCTCTCAGAAGTCCCCAACCCCCCCAGGTCCCTCCTCCACTCAGAAGGCCCTGTCCCATCTAGGCCCTCCTGTTGGGCAGCTGACCCTGCAGCCCAGAGACACCACGCATTATCACATGCAGTCCTGGCAGGACACAGCCCCACAGCCTCACCCTGATCCCTAGGTGAACCCAAGGCCGATATGGTTCTTCCTGTGCTGGGCATCAGCAATGCGCACCTGCCTTGTGGTGTGCCCTTGGAGCCCCCAGCCCAGGTCACCAGGCCACCCTGTGGAAGTAACAGCACCTCACAGAGGCCCAGCCTTGTCTCCACTATTGTGAGCAAAGGACTGCAGCCTCTGGCCAACCATCAGAGGCTAGAAAAGGGCCAACCACTCACTGAAACGGTGGGCCTCCAATGCTTCAACACCCCATGACTACACACTCCATCATAAGGCAGGAAGGAAAAGATGTTCAAAGTATTGATCTGAAGAGGAAATGTTTTTCCTATGGTCTCAAAGACCATTTCAAAAGAAAATAAATATATGCACCTGAAACCAGGGGCAGAAAGCAGCCACAGGAGGGAGGGAAAGGAGCCCCAGCAGAGCAGGTGCTGTTGCAAGAAGGAAACAGGAAAGAGGGCGACTGTGAAACCAGCCCCCAGTGTGGACATCGGAACAAGAAAGAGATGAGAAAGGGAGGACCTTGTGGCCAGCCCTGAGTGTGGACACCTGGATAAGGAGGAGATAGGGAAAGAGGCGGATGGTGAGCTAGTCTCCAGTTTAGACACCAGGATAAGAAGGAGACTAGAGGGCTGAGATGTAGCTCAGTAATAGAGCACTTGTCTAGCATGAAGCCCTGGGTTTGAGCCACAGCACCAAAAAAGAAATGACAAAAAAAAAAAAAAAGAGAGACTAGAAAGAGCAGGACCATGAAGACAGCCTCCAGTGTGAACACCAGGACAAGGAGATAGGAAAGGCAGGGATCAGCCCTTAGTGTGGATACCAGGATAAGGAGACTGCAGGTTGGGTACCAGAGGCTCACACCTATAATCCTATCTACTTGGGGTCGCTATCAGGAGGATCATGGTTTGAAGCCAGTCTGGGCAAATAGTTTACAAGACCCTATCTGAAAAATACCCAACACACACACACACACACACACACACACACACACACACAGACACACACACACACACGGCTGGAGGAGTTGTTTAAGTTGTAGATCACACACACACACACACACACACACACGGCTGGAGGAGTTGTTTAAGTTGTAGAACACACACACACACACACGGCTGGAGGAGTTATTTAAGTTGTAGAACACACACACACACACACACACACACAGACACACACACACACACGGCTGGAGGAGTTGTTTAAGTTGTAGATCACACACACACACACACACACACACGGCTGGAGGAGTTGTTTAAGTTGTAGAACACACACACACGGCTGGAGGAGTTGTTAAGTTGTAGAACACACACACACACACACACACACACACACGGCTGGAGGAGTTGTTTAAGTTGTAGATCACCTGTCTAGCAAGCATGAGGTTCTGAGTCCAAACCCCAGTATTGCCTTAAAAAAAGGAGACTGGAAAGGGCAGGGCTGTTAGCCCAGTGTGGACACCTGGAGCAGCCCCTACAAGCTCTCCAGCACCAAGCAGAGGAAATGAGGAAAAGGGGAGGCCATCAACAAGACTCCATGCTCATAAACCCACTGGAGCATGGAAGCTCAAGCCGTCTAAGGCCACATCTTCATGTCTGCTAAGAAGACAACAACCACGTGGAAGCCACATCAGCTTGCTAAAGAAACCACAGGTAAGTGTCTATGGACCCCAGGGTCATGGGCTCTTGGTTTTTCTATTTGTCACATGAGAATGAGAACAAGGACAGCCTAAGCCGGGCACCAGTGGCTCATGCCTATAATTCTAGCTACTCAGGAGGCAGAGATCAGGAGGATCACAGTTCAGAGCCTGTGCAAATAGTTCGTGAGACCCTATCTCAAAAAACCCTTCATAAAAAGGGGCTGGTGGAGTGGCTCAAGGTGTAGGCCCTGAGTTAAGGTCCCAGTACCACAAAAAAGAAGGCTAGCCCAGGAGACAAGGGAGACAAAATACCCCAGGGGAGCAGGGTTGTAGGACACCTACCTTGCGGATCTGGTTTGTCGTCAGCATGATGACGTCGGTGCCTTCGTGAAAGCACTGGGAGGCCGCAAGGTAACCAACTCGCTGTGGAGCCAACAGATGCCACATTAGATGGTTCTGGCCCAGTGCTTCCTGGGCAACACCAGGCAGACCAACTGGCAATGCCCTACAACCCAGGATCTAGGGCAACAGCAGCAGAAACTCCTGCCAAGTTGAGGGTTAGAGGCACAGGGCTCTCTTAAGGGTGGCTCACACCACAGGATCCAGGTCCTACCACTCTGCCCATTCAGTCCCCTGTACTTGAGGATCTAACGTAGGAAGGCCTGAGGCTGGATCATGGGATGACTGACACTTCTGTCTGCCAGGCTACAGTGGATCCCACAGCCACATTCACAACTGCAAACAAGGTTTAGACACCTGTGCATAGGCGGCTACTCCAGTTTTGATGAACATAGTATTTCATTTCTCCATCAACAGTGACTGGTGTTGGGCTGGCAGAGTGGCTCAAGTGGTTAAGGGCACTGGCCTAGCAATAAGCATGAGGCCCTGAGTTCAAGACCCAGTACCACCAAAAACAAAAAGAGTGACTAGTGTAGGGAGGGAAGTTGGATTTGATGAGTGCTCATTGCATGCATGATGCATGGAACTAAATCTCACTGATCCCCATTAACAAGTACAAGTAATATACATTAATTTAAGAAAAAAAAAAGTGAGCCATATCCCAGTGGCTCATGCCAGTAATCCTAACTATTTGAGGCAGAAATTAGGAGGATCGTGGTTCAAAGCCAGCCCAGGCAAATAGTTTGAAAGACCCTGTCTCAAAAAATAACCAACACAAAAAAGGGCTGGCAGTGTAGCACAAGTGGTAGAGTGCCTACCTAGCAAGACTGAGGCCCTGAGTTCAAACCCCAGTACCGCCAAGGGAAAAAAAAAAGTGACCAGTATGCACAAATCGTATCATTTGATATGTCTATCAAATGATCTAACCATGGTAATGACCTACAAGATGGAGATCAGGGCCCTCAAGACAGAAACTACTAGTCATCTCAGTCACCTAGACCAGGTGTGCAGTCCAATCAAACATTAACAACAGCTACTGTCCCATGGATGGAACACAATGGAATGCTTTCACATTGATCTATGAAGTCCTGGAAAACAGGTGTGCTGGACCATCTGCATGAAAGGTTATTTTTAAAAATATTTATTGTTGTGAGACATGCTTATGTCACACTATCAAAATGAAAACGAGCTGGGCACCAGTGGCTTACGCCTGTAATTCTAGCTACTCAGGAGGTGGAGATGAGGAGGATCACGGTTGGAAGCCAGCCCAGGCAATCAGTTCCCAAGACTCAAAAAACCCCATCACAAAAAAAATGGGCTGGTGGAGTGGCTCAAGGTGTAGGCCCAGTACTGCAAATCCCAGTACTGCAAAAAGAAAAAAAAAAAAAGCAAGAGCTGGGGATATGGCTCAAGTGGTAGAACTCACACCTAGAAGTGCAAGGTCCTGAGTTCAAACTCCAGTACTGTCAAATAAAAAACCCAAAACAAAACAAAAGTCCAAGCCAGGCACATGCCTATAATCCCATCTACTAAGTAAGGAGGCTGAGGAAGGAAGAGCCAAAAGTTCAAGGCCAGCCTGAGCAACTGAGACCTTGACTCAAAATACAATTAAAAAAGAGCTGAGGATGCATCTCGGTGGTAGAGAGCACTTGCCTAGTATGTGTTTGGCCCTGCATTCCATCCCCAGCACTACAGAAAGGAAGAGAGGGAGAGAGGAAAAGAGGAGGGAAGGAGGGAGGAAGTGAGGAAGGAAATAATGTCCAAAACTGCTTACAATAGGATCACTATAGTGCAAAGAAAAAACGCTCAGAAAATGTTTATGATACAAAAGGAGGGGTGACAAGGGATGACCTTTGGGCAAATTGATTTTCTTTTTTTTCCAAGAGTTACCAACTAAGCCTGGCCCAGTGGTATATACCTGCAATTCCAGCACCCAAGAGACTGTGGCAGGAGGAGCACAAGTTCAAGGCCAGCCTGAGCTTCCCTGTCTCAAAAAAAAAAAAAAAAAAGAAAAAGGGGGGGTCTGGGTATAGCAGCTCATTCCTATAATCCCAGCTACTCAGCAAGGGAGACAGGGAAGATTGTGGTTGGAGGCCAGTATGGGCAAAAAGTTAACAAGATCCCATCTCAATCAATAAGCTCAGTGTGATGGCATGGGCTTGTCATCGTAACCTTGGAGGAGGCACAGGTAGAGAATTATAATTTGAGGCCAGCCCAGGCAACGATGCCCATTTCAAGCAATAAAAAGTTGGACATGGTAGCATTTGTCTGTCATCCCAACTATCCAGGAAAAGCATAAATAGGAGGAGAATAGTCCAGGCTGGCCTGGGCATGAAAAAGCGAGACCCTATTCAGAAAAATAATGAAAGCAAAAAGGGCTAGGAATGTGCCTCAAGTGATACAATGCCAGCCTAGCAAGTACAAGGCCCTGAGGTCAAACCCCAGTACAGACAAAAGTTACAAATTTATTTAAATATTCATATTTAGTCCTACAAACGCAACAATTCATTTACACAAAATTGAAAGAAAAATATTATGTAAGTACTACTAAACAAATTGACAAAAATGATAGAGGTGATTTTTTTTTTTGGCAGTACTTGGAATCTAAACTCAGAGCCTTATGCCCTTACCACTTCAGCTATGCCCCCTTGTTTTTTTTTTTGGGGGGGGAGCAGTACTGGAGTTTGAACTCAGGATCTCATGCTTACTAGGCAGGTTCTCTACCACTTGAGCCACCCCGCCAGCATTGTTTTTAGAAATAGGGTCTCACTATGCAAAACTGGCCTCAAACTCAAGCTCCTCCTGTCTCTGCCTCCCAAGTACTGGATTACATCATGCACTACTGGGCTTGAACTGATGTTTGAGTAGAGAACATCTCGAAACACCAGAGTAAGTTGTTCATGCTTTTTTTGTTATTTTCTTTTATAAATCAAGATTGCTGTAATGAATATTGAGATAAAAAAGGGGTTTGTTTGTTTTTGACGCTGGGGGAACCCTGGACCTTGCATATGCTAGGCAAGTGCTCTATCACTGAGCCATACCCCAGCTTAAGAAATGTAATTTATCTTGGACATAAGCTTACCCTCTAGGAAGCAGTGAGAAGGATAGGATTCAAGATGGCTAGTATTATGCACCCCCTGGGAAGCCGGATGATACTGTATCACAGCGCCCTGGCCATCAGCAGTCACAGTGGACTGACACTGCTTGGAAGGGTGGGCCACACACCACCCCTTGCACAGTGGGGCCTCTGTCTGTAGGATAGACCCTCAGGAATGCTCAGTGTGGGAGGATCCCCACCTCCCCCAGGGACTTACATTCCCCTCCACCCCTTCATAGTTCCCAGTTCTCACCTTGAATGTGAACTTGGAGGCGCTCATCACCTCAATGATGTTGAAGGCAGCCCAGCTGATGTCGTACCCTAGCATTTGTAACTGTTAAGAAGGGAGGCATGGTGATGTTTACCCACAAGCCAAAACGAGACAACATGGAACATTCGCTCCAAGCACAGCGAAGACAAACTCCATTCACAGTCTTAACACACAACCCAAGGGCACGTTATTTCTTCTGACCAATGCCTCTAACAGGGCTAGGGTATGGTTCAATGGTAAGTGATTGCCTAGCATATACAAGGCCCCAAGTTCATCACCAGCATTGCAAAAGAAAAAAGATTGACATTTAAAATTTAAAATTTACAGTGATAGGTTTATCAAAAACACTAAAAGGCGATAAATGTCTCCAACTGTAGAAAATGGTGTTTACGGTTTAAAATTCTCCCATTACGCTGGGTGCAGTAGCATATGCCTGCATCCCAGCATTCAGCTCAAACAACAAAATCAAAAAAAAAAAAAAAAAAAAAAAAAAAAGCAAAAACTGAATAAAATTCTCTCAGCAATGCTGGCAAACAGCTCCCAGGACACACCCCTCACCTCTCTACCTCTGAGGAGGAGTCAGGCCCAAAAGGGTGGGGCACCTGTCCCCATCTCACCATTTGACCTGCAAGTTGACCTACCACTGCAACCAGACAGGGAGCCCAGCCTGGTTCAGAGCCTGAGCTCCACTCACCAAGCTCCCAGCCCATCCTGAATGGGAGCAGAACAGCCCACACCAGCCATGTGACAATGGGGCATGACTGTAGTTAACCCTGTGCAGTGTGTGGCAGCAGTGAAGGTTTGACACCATTATGTAAGCAGGGTAGAACACACAAGAAGCCTGGCAACATCAGGGGTACAGGCCAAGGGCACAGCAAAGGTACTGCCCCACAGAGCAACTGGGGAAGTACTTACATATGTCAGCTTGCAGACTGCATTTGCCTTCACTGCAATGTTGTCTTGCTTCAACTCTTGCTTGATCTCATCAATGCACTGAGAAATGTATTTTGCCTAAAAGAGAGAATAAATTTTAAAGAAACATAAATTACAAATATCTAATAGTTAAAAGTAACCATTTCAAGCCAGGTGTAGCAGACATGCCTGTAAACCCAGGACTGGGTAAACTGAGACTGAGACTCCAAGTTTGAGGTTAGTCTGGGCTACATAGTGATACCTTGCCTCAAAAAAAATACCAAAAAATAGCTGGCAGAATGACTCAAGTGGCAAAGTGCTTGCCTAGCAAGCATGAGGCCCTGAATTCAAACCCCAGTATCACCAAAAAAAAAAAAAAAAGTCTGCAGACCTTTAGAGTGGTGGAATGGCTCAAGTGGTGGTAGAACACCTGCCTAGCAAGCCTAGCAAGCATGCAGCCCTGAGTTCAAGCCCCAATACCACCAAAATAAATAAATAATCAAAAAATAAAAAATACCCACTTCAGAACACCAAACACAAAAGGCTCCAGTGTGTGACTCCATTCATTGAAAACATCAAGAACAGGAGAATCCAGAGACAGAAAGTAGATTTGTGGGTGCCAGGGGCTGGAGTGACTGCTTACGGGGATGCAGTTTGTTTTAGGGTGACGAAATGTTCTGGACCTAGACAGTGGTGACGGTTACACAATGTTCCACCAAATGTACAGACACCACATTAGACTGATGCACTCTGCAGTGGACCAACGACATCAGGCTTTTTCCCACTGTTTGGCCAGTGTGACTGGAGTTACCAAGCAACTCTGTGCAGTTTCCAAGCAGCTCGCACCCTCAGTTCTCTGGCCTCCTCAATGCTAATTCAGCACTTCTACTACATACCACTCAAGACAATTTGACCTGAACAGGACAGATGACAAGGACCAGGATGATGACAGACATACCCTTCTAGAAGTAGAGATGTAGCTATGTAGGCCCCACCCATGGAGAACCTGAAGCTCCCCATTAGGGGAGGAGTGGTTACCATAGGGTATGGAGTGACTCCATCAACAGCACTGTGAGGGTACCACACCAAGCCTCCAAATGCAAAGTTCTGCATAAAAAGTGATGATCCCACTCTGTTGTCTAACAATGGGACACAGGACCTAGAGGTATAACCCATGTCCTGCCATCCTTGACATCAGGGTTCATTCTCCTCCCACTGCACCATCCAGAGAGCTGCTACCTCTCCAAGGCCAGGCCAGCACACACAGACACTGGGCTCTAGTCCCACATCCCTAGACAGCTGACTTCATTCACTCCAGGGCTATTCTCTGAAGGTCATGATTGTCCTGCATCCCAGAACCACAACACAACCCAGCCTAAGACCTTGGCTGGCACAAGGGGAAAGGAGCCATGACTGCTCAATGCCCTCTTGGACACAGAATATTCTGCTGAGTATTTTATGACTGAGATTCAGCACAATGGAACAAGCATCATGGTGTCCTTATTACATGCTTCCAGTTATTCAGTCCCACTAAAGCCATCTTCCATTCCTGCATCGAGAAGCACCACGTTGTCAATGATTTAAAAGGGAAAGAACACAAGGACAGTCCTATGTTTGGTGGCTGGGAGTGTCACAGGGTAAACCTTGGTGGAAACAGGCTGGTAGCCCTCCAAGGGTGAAACAGCACTCCCACCCCAGCAGCAATTCCATGCCCAGGTGTGTGCTTAATGTACTGAGCACAGGTGTTCAAGCCAAACCTAACATGCAAACATGCACTGTGACCTGGGACTCCCTCTGAGCTTTCAGGAGGGCCCAACAGATCCCATTTCTAGTAATGTCACTTGAAATATCCAGAAAACAACTTACAGTGAAAATAAGGAATGCGGTAACAGGGTGATGGTATTGTATTTCCACACAGCACTGTTAACAGAAAAGTAGAAAAACTACTTGAAATACAAAACAGGAAAACAACCTACAATCAAGAAAAAAAAGGACTCCAGAGGCAGAGATTGGAAGGATCACCTAGACTCTACCTCAACAAACAAGTTGAGCATGGTGGTACACAACTGTGATCCCAGCTACATGGGAGGTATAGAAAGGAAGATGGCAATCTGAGGGCAGATGTGGCAAAAAGTGAGAGACCCTACCTGAAAAATAACTGAAGTAAAAGGGCCAGAGACATGGCTCAAATGGTAGAGCACCTGTCTAGCAAGTGAAAGGCCAGAGTTCAAACCTTAATACCAAGTGGGGGGGTGGGGAGTCATGCTCTTGAGGAGCAAAAGGAAAGTATGGGATATGAGGGCAATCTGGCTGCGACATCTGTCACTCCACTGATCACCAGGGTTAGTTCAGCTGATCTGGCTGGCTAGGAAGGTGTCCCTTTCCTCCCTCACCACTCCACATGCGTTCCTTCAAAAGCTGCACGCTCAAACAGGAAGGAAGACCATCATCCCCAACAGAGGAGGACTGTTTTTGGTCAAGAGTATACGAGTAGCTATGCTCCCCTGATAGAACCTCCAAACAAGCTCTCAAGGAAAGTATTCACACAATGAACAAAAAGACAGGAAACCTCAGCAGAGGTAAAGCAGCTAAACAGAATTTCAGAACTGAGAATGATTTGATGTAAAAAAATTTTCACTGAGCTGGTTATGATGGGGCATGCATGTAATCCCAGCCCTCGAAAGGCTGAAGCAATAGGATCTTAAAGTTTGAGGCCAGCCTGGGCTACAGAAATGAGACCTCATCTCGCTGGTGGTGTGGCTCAAGCACCTGCCTAGCAAGTGTGAAGCCCTGAGTTCAAACCCCAGTGCCTCCAAAAATAAAAGTTGTAAATATGTACCACTAAAGTCCCAATGAAAGAATGAAATAGGAAAATATTTTTAAAATAGTAACTGAAAACTTCCCAGATTTGGTGAAAGACAAATATTTATAGGTTCAAGAAGCTGAGCAACCCTCAAACAGGATAGATACAATGAAAAGCCCACTTGGATACAGCAGAGCTAGACTGCTAAAAATAGAGAAATTTTTTTTCTCTTTTTTTGGTGTAGTGGGACTGGAGCTTCAACTCAGGGTATCACACTTACTAGGTAAGTGGTCTACTGCCTGAGCCATGCCACCAGCCCTATAGACAAAAATTTAAAATCAGCCAAAGTAAAATAATAGCCAGGCACTGGTGGCTCAGGTCTGTAATTCTAGCTACTTGGGAGGCTGAAATCAAGAGGACTGAAGTTCAAGACCAGCCTGGGCAAAGAGTTCTAGAGATGCCATATCTAAAATAAATAACCAGAACAAAGTAGACTGGAGGTGTGCCTCAAGTGGTAGAGTGTCTGCTTTGGAAGCATAAAGCCCTAAGTTTAAACCCCAGTCCTACC